TATGGTACCCCCCCCTGGAATACTCAGGTTTTTGGACAGAACTTGACATTTTGGCTGTAAAAATGCATGCAAAAACACGTTCCAGCTTCTAAAATCAGGCTCTAAAAAATGCACTCCTTTTTAGACTTAAATTCTGGCATCGGTACTTAGTGCAATCCAGGATGTGCTAGCACGTGCTAGCACGTCCTGGATTGAAGATTGAAGATTGAAGATTCTCAGACCGCTTGTTCTGGAAATCTTCAATCCGTCCTTAGGACAAACTGGTATGTGCTAGCACGTGCTAGCACATCCTGGATTGAAGATTGAAGATTGAAGATTCTCTGACAACTCTCTCTGGGATTCTTCAATCTTCAATCTTCAATCCGGGATGTGCTAGCACGTGCTAGCACATACCAGTTTGTCCTCAGGATGGATTGAATATTTCCAGAACAAGTGGTCTGAGAATCTTCAATCTTCAATCTTCAATCCAGGATGTGCTAGCACGTGCTAGCACATCCTGGATTACTCTAAGTATATATTTGGAGAATTTCAGAAAGAGTTGTCAGAGAATCTTGAATCTCCCATCCAGATCCTGGATTGCCTTAAGTGCGGATTTGAAGAATCCAAAAGGCAGACCGGGAGTGCACGTTGTCAGAATCAAAATGTGGATGTGCACTTGCACTGCCTGCAATTGGCCAGGGGGAAAACTGTTGCTGACACCTTTACATTTTTTGTGGACTTGAGGGTTGGCCAGGATGGAAGATTCTCAAATAGAAAATCTGGTAGATCATCAATCTTCAATGCAGGGCGAAACCTTGATGAGTCTAGAACAAACTGTCAAGTTTTTCGGGGACCAGGATTGAGTACATTCTAAACATATGTTTGTGGAATCTTGTATAATCGATGTTCGATCCAGGGCAACACGATCTGAGCAAATGCTGAAAACACTGCGTTTTACAGCATTTATGCAAAGAATAGGATCTATGATTGAAAACATGTTCCTGTCATTGGCTTGGCTCAGTTCTTGCTTGGTTCAAACCACATGGAACTCGAAGGACAATAACCCTTTCAAAATTGAGTTTGATTCCACATTCATTTGGCCATGACAATAGCTATCTTCTCCAGTTGATTTTTGAAATGCACAAGAAACTGCAAACGAGTAAACTTGAATTTGGTTTGAACTCGAGCGCTTTTTTAACTGGATATTCTTCCCTTACTTGAATTTCAATAGTGGTTGGTTGCGATGATGGAACCAACTTAGACAAGCAACACACACACACACACGTGGGATAGTTGCTTTGCAACATATGTTTCAATTAGACTGAACTGGCATGTCGGGAATTGTGCACAACACTCCAGTTAACATGTAAATGCAACTGCGCAAGGACATGAATGAGGAATGAGTTCCTTTTCCCCGAGTTGATGTTTTGCTGAATTTCGCTGCCAAACAAAAAAATAAACACCAAATAATAGGGCTGCTACAGGCGCGTTGAAGCTGCCAACGCATACTTTGCACACTACTACTGTACTGAACAGTTGTGCTTTTTGAGCTGGAGCTGCCAAATTGCACTTTGCATACTCCAATGTGACTTTAAGTGCACTTCGCGCACGCCAATGTGACGGTCACTCAACTCGCAACTCCTAATCAACGTTGAGCTTAACTTCTGCTTGGTTAGAATTTGCATGGAGTTGAGTGTCCAGTTCATTTCAGAGTCTCAAGGCATTTGTTACCCCCAGTCTGGCCAAAAGCCTCAGTTCTGTCCAAAAACCTGAGTATTTCAAGGGGGGGGGTAGCATATATATATATATATAAACGTATAACTATTATATATATACCAACTACACAACAAGTGAATCCTGGTGAAGAACACACTCCTTATATGAAGCAGCAAATTGCAAGATGATGAAAGACACATTGCAGTTGACAGGATGACAAGATGCTCATTGAACCAGAGCCTTGCCAACCGCCGGGGAAGCCTCTGAGTTTGTCTCGGCGGAACCCATCCTGGGTCACCTGGAAGTAAATCGGTTTTGGTGCGTGTGTGGAAAAACAGCACAACTTCAACTCGGTAAGTCTGCAGAGCGCCAAAGGTGTGGCAGCTCTAAGGATTCTTGGATATCCGCCCGAAGAACAAACTTGATGGCTAGTTGCCATTGCCAAACCAATAGCTCTTTGCAGGTTCGCGGGGAAAAACATATTTTCCTGAAAGGTGCAAGGTTGAAGATCCAACCCAATAGCATCAATTTCCTTGATCTTGACCGCGAACGCAGGCCGCAATGCTGATCCTCTCGTGGATACAAATGTCCCAAACTGACCTGTATCCTGCCTATGGGTGTGTCAAAATGGGGGGAACTCAAACTTCCAAAACGAGACCCCAGTAGCCAAAGGGGGCTCAAGGGTTTCCCCGGAAAGCGGGGCAAGCCTAGGGGTACTCGAAACTGGGTGCATCTCTACGCACATGTTTTTGGTTTTTTCCTTTCTGAATGGGAACCCTTAATTGTTCCCCACTTGATTGAAGGGGCGGAGCAGCGGGGGGCGGCCGCTGTTCTTTTTCGAGGCATCTTTCACTTTTTTCTGTGCAACACCCCGTATTCAGCCAGATTGAGTCATCTTTTAAAGGGAAACTAGGCGGAACCACTCATGTGCAAATTCCGCTGTAATTCCATCCCCAAGTAACGAAGCTACATCGTGGCTGCTGCCGTGCAATGGAAACCTCCATTGCATCTCGAAGCACCCCTGGGGAACAGGAGCAATGCCCCATCCGCAAACCCATTCTACAGGCACTCGTGGCTGCTCGTTGTGCTCGCAAATCGGCGAGCTCGACTAATCTGGGGAAGCGCTTTGGTGAGGCGAGGGTCTGTGCTTCTTTTTGAGCTGGTGTCCTTATTGGGGCTGGTCAGAAAGCCAAAGGGAACCCAAACCCTGGGGAAACGAAAGAGAAACAAAACCAAGCCCTACGTACCAACCAAAGGAAAACCACAGGGAAACCAACAACTGCGGTGCCAAATCCCCATTTTGACAGATGCCACCAACCGGCTCGCTGAGCCAAGGAGCTCTGCGGGCGCACCGAGCGCTGTATTGGTGCCGGGGCAGAAGGCGAAGCCCGGCTCGCCTGCATCGAAGCCCCGGCACACAGGAAAGGCTAAGGTGCGGGACCCAAGAAAAGAAAACCATAGGCCCACAGGTGTTTTCCCAAGCTAGCTGTTGAAAACAAAATCCACAACGGGCCAACAAAAAGATGCGGGTCTGTCTCATAGTCCCCTTAAAGCATGGGATGCCTAAACTTCGCTTGAGCTTCACCCTGGAACTGGGTCACGCGGGAGATTTACTGGGGCTGAACATCGTGTCCCCTGGGCGTCCCCCGAACCCCGAGCCAGCCATGGGAGCACTTGGCCCGGAAATCCTCCCCAAAGTGGACATGTGGCAACAAGTTTCGCCCAAAGCTTCTTCCCAAGTCTTGGGTGACTGAGTTAGGGCGAGAGTTGGGTTGATCCCGGGCTCAGCCGTTGAAGTCGCAAAGCGAATGCCATTCAGCTATTAGACTTGGGTGTTATGCAGTCATTCAGCAACCCTGAGGCACCCAACGTGCCCTTTTTTGTAGGTACGAGAAAAAAACGCTCGAACTACCGATTTCTGCTCGACCCCCCAAAAAACGCTCGCCCCCCAAAAAACGCTCGACCACATCCCCTTCTTCCATCCAGAGGAAGGCGGGATTGTTACTTCTTTTTTTTTGCACTCGTTTGCGGATATTTGCGCTCGTTTTGCGGATATTTTTGCGCTCGTTTTGCACTTTGATTTCTGCTCGCTCCTTTTGAATATTCAGTGACCGATCATCTTGGAGGACCGACCAGCCCGGTTTTGGGAAAAACGCTCGAAGCAGGAAAAAGTGTACGTTTACCATATTTTGGTGACGACCCCTGGTTTTGCAATACGTTTGGGCTAAGGGCAGAAATTTATGTAACGAAGGGTGCTCCAGGACCAAAAGGGAATTATGTACGTCGACTTTTCCCTTGTCTTTGAACACCTCGGCCAGCGTACCCGGCCTTGAGTGGGCTCTTGGCATAGGATCCTTAGAGACCGGGTGTGGTGGAGTGTGGTGGGGTGGGGTGGGGCCGTTCCTAAAAGACGACCAACCACCCAATTAGGGTAGGGTTGAATGGTGTAATTCATATGTTGAGCTCATGGTTGAAAAGAGTTGCCAAAATTGATAGCAAGAAAGCGCGGGACATCTTGCCTTTCAATCCAGAATTCAGTGCAGCCTAAGGGTGGGCTGAACCCGCAGAAAGCTCCGTTCCCCTTCCTCGCACACATCGTCTTAGTACCAGTCCGCACAAGAACGCAACTCTCATCGCCGGCCAGGAGGCTTAACGAAACGGCACAAGGCATCCATGCACTCCTGTACATCGACGAAAGCAACATCTTGGGGCAAAGACTTTGCGAAAATTGGCTCCGACAGACATCCAACTGAGCTTTAACACCACGAAGAGAAACAGACGGAGTGCTGTCTGAAGAAATGTTCGTCAATGAGGCGTAGAGAGGGCGCCGCCTGACATTCCTCCTCCCGAACACGAATGTGTCGCATAGTGTGCCAACAACAAAAGGTGGCTTCCAGCAAGAGCTGCTCCCCGAGAGATTGACTGGATGAGGTGAGGTGCGATACTACTGGCTATCAAAATCACCCTCCGCATCAGTCCACAACATACACAATCATGCACATCGACTTAGAACTGGCCTGCGCTTTCTTCCGGCACACTTCGAGAGGGATGTTTGGCTGGCAGGAATGAGACTCACTTGGCACTCAACCAGTGGTGGATCTACATGTGATGTAGCTATCTAAACAAGCACCGGCCTTTCTTTGCAAGGGTCCACTGGCAAACACAAAGCCTTGCCCAGGTGGGGAAATGGACTGAATGACCCGCACTCCAGGCACCCAAAGAGCTGCAGGCCGCTGACTTTCATTGTTGCGGATCTTTTTTCCAGCTTTTACGAGCAATGATCAACTTGTGTGTGCCCTTGCATGTCACTCTGAGAACAAGCGGACAACCTCCTCGTGGCCTCTCGAAGCAGCAATCCTCGCCAGAGTTGGGGCCCGGCCTTGCTCAAATAGCTAGTTGAAGAGGCCAGTGTCTGACTTTTCAACCAGACTTAGACTACAACAAGTCAAACACAAAAGACACCCCCTCGTGTGGGTGTCCTTCAAGCAAGGTGAGTGAAGTCTGGCAATGCTACCCTTCAAGTTGCTTAAGCCCCCTGGGAAAAAAACACTTTTAAAAAAACATGTCCAATATGTGATAGATTCCCTTTAAAGCCAACAGGGGAAACTAAGCACATATTCCTAAGCAAATGGAAGTCCCCATCCTCGCGGCCGTCCAGCCATTGGAATCCAACTTGAAGGGCGCGGCCTTGGCCGCCAGCAGGCAACGCACAACCTCCACGTGCCCACGCTCCGCAGCAGCGTGCAAGGGGGTTCGCCCAGCCCGGTCTGCCTCATCCTACAATTGGGCATGCAGCAGCGTCACATGTAGGTATACATATATATATATATGTATTATATGTGCATATATATATATATATATGTATATATCTATAAAATATGCATATATATATATATCTATATATATTGCAAATGTGGTTGTCCAAAAAACCGTACAGTAGTTAGCGGTACCCACAGTTTTCTATGAGGTGATGCACTTAAATGCACTCACGGACCCAAGTCATGTGAAAAGCAAATGCTTTTGTGGAAACTGGTCGGTTGCTGCTGTGCACATCGCCTGAGAGCTTGCAACAGACAGGCTTTAACTGGCCCATGGGGAAATGAACGCCGAACAAAGTTGCAAGGCGGATGGGTAAATGCGCCAAGTAGTGAAATAGGTGCCCGCATTCAAAGAGTTGCAGAAAGGCCTCATGGATTGGATAAGTGTTTTTCAAAGTCAGCGACGGCAGCCTGCCCGACTGGACAATCTTCCTCAAGCTTTCCGGCAGTTGATTGTGCTAGTAATTCACTAAGCTAAATGAGGGCCTCAAACCCAAACCGAGCCGCCATGATTGGCCCAGATTGCTAGAAACAGATTCCGACCACTTAGGCAACGAAACATGATGCAGCTATCTGGCGCAAATCTCAGGGTGTCTCTGCGCGCGTCCCATCGATCCGTCAAGGTGTGCCCAGAGTGGCTCCGGCACACAATTGAAAGGAAACAAATCGAGTCAACCTTTAGGAAACAATAATCCTTCCAAGATCCCCTAGGCACACTGCCTTTTCCATCCCATTCAAAATGAGGGTTGCCTGTGGGACATATATATATATAACGCCCGACACGCCGCTACAGTATATAATGATAATGCACTATCCATCTTCTCTTTGGCATCCCTTGCTCCATCGTAACCCTTGTCCTTGTTTGCTCCGGCAGCTAGCAAAGCACGGGCCACTGCAGAATGGCCTTCCATCGCAGCCAGAAGCAAAGGTGAAGAGCCATCGTTGCTGGCTTTCTGATCAGCCCCTGCATCCAGCAAACACCGTACCACCTCCTCACAGCCTGCAGTGGCCGCTATCCACAGGGGCGACCGCCCATCCTTCTGGGCCTGGTCCTTGTCAGCGCCCGCTTGCAGTAAGCAGCTGACTATGGCTTTGTCCCCCGATGCGGCCGCGATGCACAAAGCCGAGCGGCCTTCTTTGTCAGTCTTGTTCAGGTCACAGCCATGCCTCACTAGCCCAATGGACATGGAAATAGCAGGTCGTCCCGTTTTAGTGTCCCGTTTCAGTCAAAACGAATACTGTCAACGCATTGTACAAACCATATGTAAATATATATATATATATATATGTGAACACCAATCAACTTCAATTCGGACTCATAATTTTGGTACTTGCCCCTCCCCCCTCTTGCTGCAAAGTAAAAGAAATCGAATAGTCGGCAATCACTAGCCCTTTATGAGAGAACTCCTATAGCTTTCAGCTAGGGGCAAACATGATTGGAACATGTACAAGGAAAAGCGAAACTTCAAATGGAGAAGAGTGCACGTCCTTGACAAAATGACGCCCCGTTCGAATGGTAAGTTTGCTTGTTGTCCCTGCAAATCAAGGGAGTCAAGCTATCGTACAGGCCTTGGGATTCCTTTTCATGTTTAAACCCATCCCAAAGGCGAGCGCCCACTTTTAGAACACGCACGCCTATTCCCAGTTCTACCCAGTTGTCCCCTTCAAACCACTCGCTTCTCTTTAGTCAGCTCCGCTTGAGCTGCTCCAGTAGAGCGCGAAGCACCAGCACCTTCCGCTGATATGCCGCGCTGTGCAGGGCAGTGACGCCCTGATCGTCGCTGTTCATGCAGGCCCCAGCGCGCAACAAGCAGGAAACCACCTTCTCCTTAGGGCAGAAAAGCGGTTTGCAAACTGGCCGTTTTTTTGTTTGTTTAAGAACAAAGATATGGCATGTATTCTGCGCTTGGGCGAAGGCGTTTCCCACTCCATTTCTGAGGTTTCGAGTCAGGTCCTACAAAATCCCGCCAATGGAGATCGCAAATCGTTGCAACATGTTGAATCCTTCGCTTGACCAATTGCCAGTTGCCAACCGCCTGTTGCTACCAGCAGTCGCGCACATACCCATCTTACCGAATGCAATGAACACATGCCCAAAAATATTACCACACTTAAAGTAATAGGGCCATGGGGATAATCGAACGCCAAGAACTGAGAACAATTGGCCATTAACAAGACGAGCGCGCGTGTGTTACAATAGTGACGCCTCAATATGGTCCGTGTCCCCTCGGGCCCATTTTCAATCAACCCTGAAGAGGGTGCCCGTCCCTCTAAGCATCAAAGCGTCCCTCAGGGAGCCAATAGCCATCCAAATTTCGACTTCACCCTGGTGGAACCCTTGGAACCCGCCCCTTCGGACCCATAGGCACCAACCCCAAACGCGCCGAGTCCGCCGAGTCTCGTGCCCCCCGGCAGCCGCAAAGCCCAGCGCGGTGCGGCCCGCGAGGTCGCGGGCCTCTTTCTCCGCCCCGGCGGCCAAAAGGCGCTGCACCACCTGGCCGCGAAATTGCTCATTTGGCGCACCGGAAATCGCAAAAAACACACACAACAACTCTACCATGAAAACCTTGAAAACATATATGGATAGATATGCATATATATATATATATACATACCATGGGTAATCGCTGATGTTCAGCTTCCCTTGGTGTTTCCCGCAAGTTTCCTGCGGATTTCCTGTTTGGATTGGTGGCTTGGATTGGTTGGTTGTCAAGGAGGGTTTCCCATTTGCCCTCAAGCACCAGGGGTTCGAATCTGACATTTGGCACACCGGAAAAAAAAAAAAAAAAAAAAAAAAAAAACCAAATTAGGCACACCCGTATGAATCTGCAGATGATCGCGTTGAAAAAAGCAAATTGACATGGGTTAGTTACTGTATATAACCTGTTGGGACCTTGACAAAGAAACAGATGCCATGGATAGAAAGGCGAACAGTGTTTTGTTTTTCCCAGCTGCAAGCTATCTCTGCACAGGCTTTGTGGTGGCTAGGATCAGATTGCCTCAAGGGTTCTTGGAAGGTGGGATGGAACACCCACATATCTATATAGCATAGATACGACATGTGTAAGTATGTATGTACAATAATATATATATATATGTTAAAAGACGGGATCTGGACCTATGGCATTTGTTTCCCGACCTCTTGGGTTGGTTAACAATTCTGCCAGTCGCTCTGAAAAAAGAGGCTGGGAATCGCCGAATTGCCGAATCGCCTGGAGGTGCCCGGCAGCTGCTGCGATGCACAAAGGCGTCCGCCTTCGCTTCCCAGGCTTCTCTTTGTCCGCCTTGGCCTTCAGCAAGCAGTCCACCTAAGGAAACCTTCCATTTGCTTTACCCTGGAAACAGATGGAACATATCTCCAGCAGTGATGGATTCACGCTCCCAACAAGGGAAAAAAACAACAAACATATTATTGAGCAAATGGAAGAACCGGTTTCCCCGCAATCGCTCAAAAGATGCGTTTGAGAGGCCGAAAACCATCCACTATTTTAACGTTGCTCAGAATATGATCTGGGTCTAACGTGGTTGGTGTCTTTTTGGTTTCCCTTTAAATACCAAAAGGGGTCGTACCATTTGGAGAAACTCCAACAAGCATAGGCCGGCTCAGGGAGAACAAAGGAAACCTGACACCTTGGTGTTCAATGAGGGAATGATATCTCTAAACCGTCCTGCAAAATATCTTAAGCGCCTTTTGATTCCCTGACACCAGCAAGCTTAACCTTTCCAATCATATTCGGCTTGTGGAAGACTGCCATCCCTTGAGCAGCCCCCAACATCCACTTCCACAAAGATATATATATATACCACTCCTATCTAGTAAGTACTTATTCAAGGAGGACGAAAGGAGAACTAAAGAAGAAGCAACGGAAACCCGTAAGGACAGTTTTTCACCAGGCGACCAAATCCAAATGCCCCGTTGCTGCTGCAGCCCAAAGGGGCGTGTAGCCGTCAATGCTGGCTAGGTCGGTACCTGTTGGGCGACCCTGGCCCCCATTTAAGGGAAACCTCATGGCTGGGTGCGTGTGCGTGTGCTTGTGCGCGCGCGTGCGTCTTTTTGAGGTTCTGTACCTTTTTCAGCTTTGGTCAAGGGGAATCGGAAACCGGAAGGGAAGCCACTAAGGCCCCCCCCATGACATCTCCACGGATTTAAACCAAGGGGATGGCCCTGCCTGCTCTGGCCTCCAGCAATCGGTGCACCACCGACAGATTCCCGCCGTTGAAGGAGGCCGCGCCGTACAAGGGCGTGTGGCCCTCCTGCGGCACGGCGTCGCAACCAGCCCATGGCGACCAGCCCATGGAAGCTTAGCAGTTTTTGCAGGGAATCGATTTTCCCCCAAAAAGACCAGAAAAAATCCAAGCCTTCCACAGGTTCAAGCAACCCTGGTGCTTCCAGTTGCCAGGGTTCGTTACCTCTATGTTTCAAAAATGGTGGTTTCCCCAGAGTGCCAGCTGGAAGCACTGGGAACTATTCTTTAACCACCCTTTAGCGGGGACCACTAGTCGGTTTAGTGTGGCCCCTGGCGGCCCTCCTTGTTGGTCCCGTTCTTATCAGCTCCAGCTTCTAGCAAGCAATGCACAACCTGCTCGTGGCCCCGGCACGCAGCTTCGAACAAGGCGGAATTCCGCGTCCCCTCGGCCTAACGGAGCCAAAAGGCCACGGCAGAAATGCTGAAGCTGAGGCAATTCAGAATTAACGTCAACCTCCCAGTACACATTAGAGGAAGAGACAGGAGAGAGGTACAAACACAAACAGAAGCTCAAAGCGTTGCCATTTCGTAAAGCAGCCGCTGCATTGGGATCATGGGCTTGGTCCAATAGATCCTCAACTTTGCTCAGCTTGCCGCCACGAGCGGCTTTCAGCATCTCCCGTGGGTCCTCCACGTAGGTTTGGGCCACAACCACCAGATCGCTGGAGTCATTCCATCCACTCTCAGGGGCCAACTTGCTGGTCCCACAGGCCAGCGCCAGCTGCCTCGAGGAGGAAAACTGGCACATGCGGCTTCAACAAGTTTGACTTTCGTCTATCCCGAGTCAACATCTTCTATCCGCCAATGGCTTCTATCCACCATTTTTGTTTAGCAAACCGCAGGACGCTTACAAGTTCGCCTGAAGTTGGTCACCCCCAGCAGCTGCGCTAGATGCCTTCGCAGCTCGTCCGTGAAGCGTGCTCCTTGTTGCCTCGCATCTTGCTGCAAATCCCACCAGTGGCTGAATTCCGCCTGGCCGAGCACTGCCAACCTTCCTAGGTGCAAATCTACCGGGCGGTCAAGCACAGAGTGACGACAAATCGGGAAAACGAGGCCGCAACACTCGAGCGCTGGGCAAACCTGCCTTGGTCATCACCTCCTTGCCGGTGACCGAAGTCACAAACGCCATTCAGCCCATGGCGGTCAGGATAGCTGCGGTCAACAACCAGGTGATGGTTGATTCTAGTTTGCTCTCTTTCCCCACAGGCTTCTTCTTCGCTTATGTTGTGGGCCTGTAGGTTGCAAGCTTGTTCAAAGCCTATCACCAGTGAACATCTGCACAAGCAGCACAAAGGTTGGTTGAATGTTTGCCATGTTCCCATGTTCTGACTTCACGGGGCGCCTTACAGCAACAGACGTGCGTCTGTTTTTGATACAGGCATCAAAGCTTCTCAAGACAGCCAACAGAAGAGCCCGCTCCACATTCTGAGAACATTCCCACAAGAAAAACTTGTCCATCATCCCTGGGGTGCAATCACACAATGGTTCCACTGACCTTGAAATGACAAGTCGGACATTGGGATCATGGTCAATGCAAGTAGAATCTGTCCCCCATTCGTTGCTATTCCCCCAGCCTCAGATGCTAACTACCTGTTCCAATCATGCTATATGGCTGTTTGAAAACTTCCGATCTTCTCATTTGCTTGAGTGGTAAGATTTGTGGGCGTCTATTCTAGGTCCTCAGTAGAGAGGTTAGAATAAGGGTACCCTTTTTCTCTAGTCTATTTTAGTAGGGGAACCCCTCCCCCAAACAAGAAACGGCAAAAGGGCACTACTGGGGGACCTAGTACTTCCTGCTCAACTTGCTCCCCAAAATTATAGCTGGTCTTTGCCTCTTCGGTCCACGGCCGCTACCGACCACCCGCCCGCCTGCCTTCAGCCCCAATCAGCCGGGCGAGGGTAGGACATCTGCCCACTAGTTATTGGAAAAAAACGCAGGCAAGCAACATCAGTTCCTATCCAAAGGTGGTTTGACCAAATCTTGGCTCAGAGCAACCCTGTTTGTTCCACTTGGACTGGACGGCCCAATGCCCCTTTGCAAATGTCTTGTAGCTGTTTACTTAAACTAATTAATATTGTCCCAAAGACTCAAAAATCTAAAGACCCAAGTGGATGAACAAATCATTTCATGGCTCCAAAACCCAATATGTTTACTTGGACTAATCATTTCCCAAATAAAAAGCTATTTACTTGCCCCATTCATTTCCCAAATACGAGCCAAATGGATGAACAAAGCATCTGCCGAAGGGCTCGCAGTGCTGGCCCGGCGCGAGGCGGCCCTCGCAGCCGGCGAAGCGGCAGCGGTCCATCGGCGGCACAGCGCAATCGACCACCGGCACGCAGCCAAACAACTGGAGCTCCCCTGCGAGCGGCTCCACTCCAGTAGAGTCACAATCAAACCCGGTATTAAAATGGACTACCCAGAACCATGCAAAGAATTAAGAAGGCGGATATGCGCAACTCTTTTTGGCTGGGACTGCCCCTTACTAACCTTCATCTACCCGGGTGGCTCAGTAGCATGTTCAATCCACTTGTATAGTAGGTGAAGTGTAACCTTGGTTAGCAGTATCTGGGGTTGGCCAACTTATGGCTATGTTTGAATCAACTCAACCACTTTTCCATGTTATATGAGTATCTAAGATGGTTTCCGCTACCCCCAAACCACCCCCAGGGCTTTAATTGGAGCCACTTTTCCAGCCGCTATATAAAGGGTATCTACCTCAATTTATGCTGGGGGTAGTGGTTTGGGGGTACCGGAAGCTGTCTTAGACAGTAGGATCTTCTATCCACTTCTACAGTAGGTGAAGTATAACCATGGTTAGCAGTATCTGGGGATGGCCAACTTATAGATATGTTTGAATCAACTGCTTTTCTGTAGGGTTGAACATCAAAGCAGGAAGACTTGACATGGTCAACCTGAAATGGGCAGCAACCGGAAGACATGAACTTGACATGTTTGATCTGACATGGGGAGGGTGGTTAGCATTTTGTGTTGCTCCATTTTGTGGAATCTGCTCAGTAAATTGGGTTAGGCTTGTGAAAGGGAGGTCCCCTGCGACATTGAAAACATGAGCCTGACTTGGCAGGTTCAGTTGTGGCACTTCAGAGACATTGACCTAACAAACGAGGTTGGCTAAGCTAGCTTTGCTTGCTGGAATCTTCTTCAAACAAATACCCGCCACAAAGCCACCCCAAAATTGCCTCCTTCCATCCTTCCCCCCCCCCCGGCGAGAAAACGTTGACGCGTCTCAGCCGCAAGGCCTACGCAGTCGTCCCTAAAGCCGCAGGCAGTGGTGACGTTGCCAGCGAAGCCTTCGCCACATCGCCACTCCTGCAGCGCGGTTGTGTCTTTTAGGAACTTGGGGCCCCATATGCCCAGACGCGACCAGGTGGCTGCGGCTATTGCCAATCAAATTCACGCACAGGACTAGTCCCCCCCCCTTCAGGCCAAGGTCAAGTGCAATCTGCTGTTCGCAGTATGAATAGGCAACCATTCACAATCTCAACCATTTTTTCGAGAGCTTCACCAGCATATGGAGACTATTCCAACATTCCAGTATTTGCCGTATGCGGCCCCTCAATTTGTTCTTCTCAAAGCCATGACGCTCGAAAGGGAAACTGGCTTGGACATCTCCTTCATTCTGCTGGTTGCAAAGAACATCGAGGCAGGTCTTTATAATGCTTGCAGGATGATAGCCTTGGTTCATGATCGCCGAACCATACACAAACAGCTGTCCTTGAGCACTTTCCAGTACTCAAACACCCATAATTCTGCAAAACCATTCACATCGTGGTTGACTTTCTCAAGGTCCATCCATAGCACTTGCCGACGCTTGTCCCCTCCTCCTCCACCTTCTCGTAGCCTTCCGGGGCTACGTCAGGGTCCACGCAGTCCTTCGGTAAAGGCGGACCCGCCCCTTGGTTCGTCCTTTGGAACTCCTGCAAAGTCATGGAGGGCTGCCACCGCTTTGGCCCTGCATATATAATCCAGTGCTTCCAGTTACCATTCTGGTAGGTAAACCATTACCATGGTAACATGGTATGTTACCTTCCGGTTTTACATGATGATGTCCCTGGTTGTCGACCAGAATCCGAAATGAGTCCCGCCCAGGTTTGCACAATGATTCACGGGTCCTAGGTACACAAAAAGTCTATCAATCCCTTTCCTGGTCTACTTTGGAGGTGCGGGGCAACGCGATAATTGGGGCTGCGATAGTCCGATTGTACTGTCAAGTTCTAGTCTTGTCCAAGTATGCAGGCGCCAAGCTTCACACTTTCCCTGCTCAAGGTGTGGCGAGCAGGTTCATGCTCTTTGGAGAAGCTTGCTGGTTTGATTCGAGCAGTCGCTGTATTATATACCCGCAAAGCATCAAACCATGCGTTCAGAAGAACTCCAATTCCACCAATTTCCCCCAGTTTCCTGCTCCAATTATCCAACAACTCCAATTTCCCCAAATTTCCTCCAAAAACTCTCATTATCCTGCTCCATCCCAGCAATTTCCCCCGGATCGCCTGGAAGATGCAGATGAGCTCGGGCAGCAACAGCTCGTGTCCTGATCGGCTAATGAAGAAATCACGCCTTTCCGCCGTGACCAACAGGAAAACAGGCCTCCCAAGGCCAAATATTCAAAAGATCAAGGGCAGGTTCTTAAGGGTAAAACCAACACCACTACGAATGCAGAGCTTTTCGCAGAGCCCCAATCTCCCGATACCAAAATTAGAGTTGGGCAAGACTAAAACCAACTCTAAACCTGCAGGTTCTCTGCCCACACGGGCTCTGGCAAGGGATACTTATAGCACTTCCCCGGTCCAAATCTGAAATGCCGAGCCTCTGCTCGGCCTCCAAGAAAGGCCAGTCCAACAACCCACAGATTTGAGCAACTGATATATATATATATATAGAAATATATATAAACAGAGCTGTACTAAATCAGCACAATGCCACCCGAGCGGCTACAAACAGCCAATACAGATGCTTTTGAATGTGTTTGAAACTATTTTTGGTGTGTGTGCTTAGCAAGTAACCGCTTTGAGGTTCAGAGATTTGATGACGTAAGTGGAAGGAACAACCGGCAGAACATCCCGGCGAAAAATGCACATTCTTCCGGGCAAGTTAACCTGGACCCCGGAACCCAAAAAGGCGCCTGCAAAGATTTGCTAGGCCATATCATACCAGAAACTGGTTTGCAACTGGGGTTTAAAGAAACAAATGTGTAGTTCCGTTCATAGGCTAAATGTGCAATGGCATTGCATACACATGGTGCGTTCGACCAGGGCCGGACATAGCTGTCACATAAGAGTACCCAAAATAACAAGCTCAAACTCATTGGCGTCAGATGCAGTGCGCGTAGCACGGCACCTGACAAAAGGCCCCTTCTAACATTGATTTTTCAGGAACTCTCCCACAGATGGTGCGTCTGAGGCCAACTGCCAGTCACAAGAACTTTCTCGGGACAGGGAAAGTGCGTACAAAGCACTGGATTTGTGCCAGCGGATCGCGACGAGAAAGGTGGGAAAGCCAGCTTCCAAGCCATTCAGGCTTCACTAGGTTGAAGCCCTCCCTACATACAGCACGTCACACGACGCATCATGTGAATCACATGTGTAGCGCCAACAAATTCGGTTTGAGTCTTTGAATTAACAAATATGTGGAGTTCAACAACCCCCGGCGCTAATTCCAAAGAGCAACTGTTTACAGTAGCGCTGTTGGTTTGTATGTTCGCTTCAGAGTGATCAATTTTTGCTTCCCTGCAAGCAACTTCATGCTACTGCGGCGACATGAATCGACATGATGCGACATGGGTTTGTGGCTCAACCGTCTTTTCGTGGGTGGCTTGCAGTTGATGTCTATTTGCAGAAACTGCCCCAAGCAGTCGCCCATGCCCTATCAAACAATCGCCCGCGAGCTTGTCCCGGGGGCGGGGGGCGGGGGGAGGCAACCCATCCTGGATCCGTGTTGCCAGCAGGGCAAACCCCCACGACTCCATCTGAAGGAATCAGCGGCTCAGCTTCCATGCTCTGCAAAGATAGCAAAGGGGGCTGAGACGCATTGCTCCAATTCTGGCTGGTGTTGGTGTCGTTCACGTCGAAGCTAAAATTGCTGAAGTTGCTCTCGTTCTCCTCCTCTTCGTCCTCGGTGACCTGGCATGGCTTCCCCATCCCAATCCGAAGAAAAACAAAATGAATCGGATTGATGGATACGTATATAAGCTATCCAAGTGAGAAGCAAGCCTCTCATTGCCTCAACAGAACTCTATCTGGTAGAGCTCGTCATCACTACCACCATCACCCCCATCATCGTCGTCGTGGTCATCACCATTGTCAGCGGCATTGGCATCGTCATTGTCATCATCGTCATCGTCATCATCATTATCATCATCATCATGATCATGATGATCATGATCATCATCATCCTCATCCTCATCCTCATCCTCATCCTCATCCTCATCCTCATCCTCATCATCATCATCATCATCATCATCATCATCATCATCATCATCATCATCATCATTGTCTTGCCATCGTCGCCATTGTCATCATCATCGTCACCGTCACCGTCACCGTCCTCCTCATCCTCTTCATCATCGTCGTCATCATCATTCCTTTCAAAGAAAGGAATCAGCAGCCTCAGCATCAGTGTTCACCGGCAAAACAATCGCCGCCACTACCACCATCATCATCATTATCATCATCCAAGTCAAAAACTGCAGCGCACTAGGCAAACGTCCTCATGTTCCGCGGTTTTAAGGCTGCAGCGTCCGGAGCAGCCAAGCGCCATGACCAACATGACTGCAATCATCATACTACACACACGCAGTCTGCATTCAGAGCGGCTGCTCGAAAACTTTGCCACACCAGGGGCCATCTAACCTTCAGTCCCCTAACGTAGCGCGTGTGCTGAGAACACGTCGAAGTGCAAACGGTTTGTTTCGTCCACATTCTGACTATTGGATCTCAGTTGACTGAGCGAAAGCCGATGATGGAGTCTTCATATGCAAGGTGGTATCATGGCCTGTGGGTACTTGAGCTGGTGGACAACCAGCGGATGCACGAGAAGATGCAACTTGTGGAAAAAAACATATAAAATCGCCGACAGGAGCGTTGAGCGAAGCCAACGGAGCAAATCTACAAACAAAAACCAAGCAAGGATTTGCGAATGGCCCCCACCTCTAAGCCTGGAGTGAGTCAGTTGCAAAAAGCTCGGCCCCCCAAAGCACTCATAGAGAGCTCCAGGGAGCACAGCTGGCTTTTGCGATTCGCGCCGTTCTCCTCCCTTTTGCTCCCTCTGCACATCCTGTTAGCTGGCAGCTCCCCCATCCACCCCCCCATCTCCCTCTCTCTCCACATCGCTCCCTCCGTCTGTCCGTCTGTCCGGCCGTCCCTCCCCCTCCCTGCTAGCAGTGTCCAAAAGCCCGCAAAAATACATCTTATGCAAACCCTGCGAGGCCCGGCCTGTCGCAAGAAGCCAGCGTAGCTGCGCTTGCAGCTGACCAAACACGACGTACCCTCGCCCACTTCCTCTCCGCAGTCCGAGAAGTTCAGGCTGCAGTGCGCCTGCTTTATGGTAGCGGGGGACCCACCTCGACACTGTTTCACTGTTCCAAGAAGGGAATGGGGTTCGCGTCATTTACCGGGTCTGTAGTTGTCATATTGGAAAAATCCAATGTGAAGTCCTGTGCGTTGCGTGACACTTTTGTGCAGGAAAGGACAGTGGCCCAATGTCCAATGACCCCCTTGCAACTGGAATTGTGGCTTCGGGTCTGAGTTGTTCAGGTGCGTCCGGTGCATGGCACTTGGCAACTTTGCCCTAGCCTAGCCAGCTAGTCAATTGTCCGATTGCTCAAAGAGTTTTGAAGTGCGTTCCGAAAGTAGCTCATGAAAAAGCTGGCTACTCAATGAAGTAACTAGAAAGACCTGGAACCCTATTCAGCCAGTTGTCACCCAATTGGCTGGCTAGTTGGAATCTTGATTAAACACGGCCTTGAATACCAAATTCTCATCACAGGCTGTGACTGTCTAACCTCGCCCTTTTCAGGAGTCAGGCAGGTGTAATCAGTTGCGGCTCATGTTAGAACACATGGACTCAGGGTGAGATTGTGGTTGTTGGGTTGAGTTAGGCTGCTGCAGGATTGGTTTGGGGTTGGTTTAGGGTGGTTTAGGAAAAGCTTTAGGATTGGATTTTGGTGGGTTTGGGGTTGGCTTAGGGTGGTTTAGGGTGGGCTTAGGGTTGGTTTGGGGTTGGTTTCAGTTTTACCTTCCCCGCGTTCTCTTGAACGAGCCACTTCCCCTACTTCCCCTGCACGTGCGCCCGTCGGCCCGCCGTCGGCCTGAGGCAAAGGGCAGGGCTCCAGGCGCAAGCAGCCAGAAAGCACCTGCACCGCCGCGCAGGTGCCGTTGCCCAGCTGGCACCTGGTGTGAACCCTCCATTGTATTTTATTTTTAATGAGTTATTTGCTGAACATGAGAAATGAATAGAATATGAAACTAAAGTAACCTCTACTGCGTACTGTAGAGGTTACTTCAATTTAATAGTCTATTCATTTCTCATGTTCAGCTGATAAATTCAGCCGCCACCAGTACGCAGTAGAGGTTTATCCAATGTCCTATTCTATATGGAGGATACGTCATTTCTTATGTTCAGCTGATAATTTTAGCCGCCACCTGCGTACTGGTGGCGGCAGAATTTATCAGCTCAACATGAGAAATGAATAGAATATGAAATCACCTACTGGTGGCGGCTGAATTTATCAGCTGAACATAAGAAATGACGTATCCTCTATGTAGAATAGGAAATTGGAGTAACCTCTACTGCGTACTGGTGGCGGCTGAATTTATCAGCTGAACATAATAAATGACGTATCCTCTATATAGAATAGGAAATTGAAGTGACTTCTACTGCGTACTGGTGGCGGCTGACACAAGCACTGCGCATCTCTTCAAACGGTCAGTCGCAAAACAGGGGTACCCGAAATCCGTGATTGTCCTTCTCCCTTCAAAATCAACCTTTGGTCTCCCTTCAAATTCAATCAAAAAGTCCCCCGAACAAAAGACACCCTCAAAGCATGTCTCCGCCTCGATTGGGCAGTGCCCACGTAGCCTTCGGCACAGCGCCAGCTGTCCTCTTGCTGCACATAACCCGCTGGAATCGGCTCTGGTACTGGGCAGTCCTGAGGTGGGACGGGCCCATGGAAGTCTGGCTGAACAGTTAGAAGTCATGATCTTCAAGGGTCACTCTAGTCCACTCAAGCGCAATTAACCCACACAAGCAAGCAAGCAAGCAAGCAAGCAAGCAAGCAAGCAAGCAAGCAAGCAAGCAAGCAAGCAAGCAAGCAAGCAAGCAAGCAAGCAGGCAGGCAGGCAGGCTGGCAGGCAGGGCAGGCAGACAGGAAGGGGAGGCAGGGAGGGAGGGGAGGCAGGCAGGCAGGCAGGCAGGCAGGCAGGCAGGCCGGCAAAGAGGAGGCAAAGAGGCAGGCAGGCAGACAAGCAGGCAGGCAAGCAAGCAAGCAAGCACAAACAACAACGCAATCGCACAAACGAGCGAGCGAGCGAGCCAACAAACAACCAAACCCACAAACACGCAAACACGCACAAACAAACAAAACCAAACACAGCCAACCAGGAAAGAACAAAACAAAGCAAAACTAGACAGACAGACAGACAGACAGACAGACAGGCAGGCAGGCAGGCAGGCAGGCAGGCAGGCAGGCAGGCAGGCAGGCAGGCAGGCAGGGAGGCAGGCAGGCAGGCAGGCAGGCAGGCAGGCAGGCAGGCAAGCACAGACCATGTTCATACATCATACATGCACTAGCTCGCAGGGTCGACAATCACAGCTGCTTCAGACATGTGACAGCTGGCCCACGCAATGCATGGCTCTATCCACGAGTTGAAGGAAAAGCATGCAGAGGGAAAGCAAGTCCCTCAATCAGCTGGTCGTGCATGCTCTTGGTGGCTGTGTTCACAGGGTGTGCCAACGAGACCTACATCCTAAGGAGACTCTCTGTAATCGGGGAAGCACATGCACAATGTACAGAACAACCACAAAGAGCTGTGCATGGACAAGCACCTGCATGTGCAAACTATGCATGACAAAACAAACAACATGCTCCATCCGTTAATGTTAACGGCACTGGTCTGACTCCTCACATAAAGAGCAAAAACCCTCACAATCTTGTCCCACCCATCCATCACACGCAATGTTGGGGCAAGAGCCTCAGTTTACTGCTGCCAATCGAGTGAGAGTGCCCACGCAGTTTCTTGCTACCACCAACTCACATTAAACATGTATGTCAATGTATGACTATGTGTCAAAACAGGGAGACTACCAAATTGGTGGCATTCAATTTGGTTTTTCTTTAACCCTACCCCGAAAAGGGTATCGTCAACACACACCTATATATATATATATATTATTTGCTATGGCCGACTTTGCCCTGGCAGTCTATGGCTGCTCCTGCCTGATTTGCGCAGCAAAGATGTATTGCAGCCTTGCTCAGAGTTTTGATGGCCAATAGAAGGGTCTTAAATAGTTAAAATGGAATTGTGCGGTATACGGTATACTCTAAAACCAATTTTGGTCATGGTTCAAGGGGCAACTAGCTGCTGGTAATCAGTTTAATTCTCACTGATACTAGGCAAACAGTGCTAGACAGACTCACAGAAATGCCGAATCCACCCAAAAGTCGTGGGTTTCGAGCAACTTTTACCATGTCGGCGCAGTCCCATTGGGGTATGCCCGTGTTCGAAGGCCCGAAGGTCTGCTGCCAAGCGGCCATGACACAAGTGGGAGGTGTCCACGTCACCAAAGTGGTGGGGTCGATGTTGAAGGTGGGACACCTCCCCAGCTCGCGTCTGGTCACCTTTCCCCAGGAACCGGTGGAACAGAATTGGAGCCCTTTTTGGGGTTGAGCATTTTTTGTGCCGTGCCAAAAACCACAGAAACAAGAGAGGTGCCATGGAACAAGGCTAAAGAGCAATAATCTACCACAAGTACAAGAGCTAATGAGGATAGGAACTCCCTCACTCATATATGGCAAACAGAGTTTGCCTGTCATCCACCCGCCCACAAATAAAACAAATAAGCCTGCCAGATTCTGACTCCGAATGCTCAATGGCAGTGTCTACATAAAAACACTTGGCACCCTCGCCGAAGGTGCGAATGTGTTGGAGCTATAGCTAAACATGCACAATAAATAAGAAGCTGAAACCTCAGCTTCACATGACTACTGTGACAAACAGTAGGGCAACAACTGTACAGGAGTTCTTTCATTACAAGGCGCCCTTCTGACTTGCAAACAAAGTGTGTCTCAAAATCTTGCATTGCTAAGCTAACAGCCCGAGCGAGCGAAGCTTGCAATCCAACAAACAAGGATATCCAGTCAATGTATTGCCGCACTTGTGCCTTTGCTTACTTTAGCCCATCGGCATTGCTAGCTCAGTACAATCACGCGCCGAACCTTAAAAACAAAATGCCGAGGGTCTAAATAAACAATCACCGCACTCTAATTCAACAACTGGAAATCAGGGATTCAGCAACAAGCTTCATCATTGAATTAAGATTGATGAGTGTGGCTCTTCCGAAGCCAAAGGAAGTCAATATAGGTGGACCCCAGAAAAGAGGTCCTTTGGATTCTCCTTTAACCAACACAAAGCTAGTGCCATCAAACACTTGTTGACCCAAAAGCATCCGCATCCGCCTCGCAAAGGTCGAGCTGCCCACGTAGGGCACGCGGCATTTTACCTCGCCTGGGCATACCCCGGGTATGTGTCGACACAAAAGGGCCTCCGAAATCGTGGTTGTCTTTCCCTTTAAAGCCACCCAAAAAGGGAACCAAAGAAAAACACACACATATATACAGCTTTTGGCATGAGGGGTATGAACAATGGAAAGCCTTCATACCCAAGGCTGTAAAAGGGGTATGTTACACCCTCTGGGTTGCCAGAATGGCAGCCGCCCTTGTGGGACCTTCGTGAAGCGTTCCACAAGATATGGTTCCAAAAGAGAGCCAACATTCTGAGTCTATCGAGTGGCGTACGTTGAGTCTAGTGATGAAGTCAATCTTCACTCTTGGCCAAGTAAAGATGCGTTCAATCGTTCGTTACGCATTAGAAAGCTGAACGATCCACACTCATGAGCCCTTTCCAACGTGTGCAGTCCAGATCCTTCAGCATGTCTTCTCCGCCCATGGTTTCCGTGAGTTCTCAACCAAATGCCCGTACCAAACACCGGCTGTCACACTAACTGACGACCACATGGGAAGTTGTGTACATCCAAAACCCTGGCCAAGATTGATGATTGTGGTGGGATTGGCTGCAACTGTGAGCATAATGAAACGACAAGCAAGAAGGCCCGCCAGGCAGTGAGATGTCTTGGAGGCATATATAACATATACTCGCTTCCCTGTAAAAATAGAGATACTACCGCCCCTAAAATATGGACATTCCCCTCCGGGCGGAAAATATTTATTAACAGGGTACAGGGTGCCCAAAGATTTACGCTACTGTCCTTGCAAATGGGATCCCCCCCCCCAAATCGACTGGAGTTGTGGTCTGCGGGAGATGTGGGAGTTTAAAGTTGATTGAGTATTGCTTCTAATTTAGCATTAGGACATTTGATGCCAGAACACCAGCAAAACAAGAACAATAACAAGAACAAGAACAAGAACACAAGAACAACAACAACAAAAAACCAATAACAATAATTGCAACAACCACAAAGACAACGACAACAACAACGACAATAACGACAACGACAACGACGACGACGAGGACGAGGACGAGGACGAGGACGAGGACGAGGACGACCACGACCGCGACCACGACCACGACAACGACAACCACAACCACAACCACAACCACAACCACAACCACAACCACAACCACGACCACGACCACGACCACGACCACGACCACGACCACGACCACGCCCACGACCACGCCCACGACCACGACCACGAGCACGAGCACGAGCACGAGCACGAGCACGAGCACGAGCACGAGCACGAGCACGAGCACGAGCACGAGCACGAGCAGCCGACACCACACCACCACGCAGCAACAACAACAACAACAACAACAACAACAACAACAACAACAACAACAACAACAACAACAACAACAACAACAACAACAACAACAACAACAACAACAACAACAACAACAACAACAACAACAACAACAACAACAACAACAACAACAACAACAACAACAACAACAACAACAACAACAACAACAACAACAACAACAACAACAACAACAACAACAACAACAACAACAACAACAACAACAACAACAACAACAACAACAACAACAGCAGCAACAGCAACAGCAACAGCAACAGCAACAGCAACAGCAACAGCAACAGCAACAGCAACAGCAACAGCAACAGCAACAACAACAACAGCAGCAACAGCAACAGCAACAGCAACAGCAACAGCAACAGCAACAGCAACAGCAACAACAACTTGTTTAAAAAATAAAAGGTGCCTTCACACATGTTTACACATAGGGGAAAGTGATTGCTCAGTCCAATTCCATGTTATGTTCGTGGCGTGGACATGCTATGTAAAACAGTTTTAGGACAGATGGTCAACAATTTGGCCCCATTGCTGCCCAAACGTGTTGCATCCTTGCAAAACAAACGCCAGACTGGGGGACTCCTTATTCAGACATATCGGCTGTTCAAGCTCCAGCACCTCCACTAGGCTGGTAAGAACATGCACTGAAACAGAAACTGAACCCATCTGAGCTACATAACTTCAAATTGGGTCAACTAAGTTCAGACACAAGCAGCATAAACAAGCCACCACTAGGCACAAGCAGCTGTCACAAGCAGGACATCACTGTGGGGCCGACTGGGCACAGACAGCTATCAAATGATGCTGGACATCCTCCAAGATCAGATGATGTTTGAGGTAATCCGGGGCGCGTACCCCTCCATGCAGGTAGCCCACAAGCTCATGCTCGGGATTTCAAAGCATACGAGCTTGAAGCATGATGAGCTGTCCACACTTTTTAGTGAATTTCAATTCGGGATCCTCTGGTGGACATCACTGAATCGTGAACTTATGCAACCACCAACCCATTTCGTGGTCCCCGAGAAGGCTATGGGGAGGCCGGGAATCCCTTATTCATTCCTCAATAAGGGCTTTTTCACTTCTTATTCTTGGCTTATCCTGGCTTTTCCATGACCACTTGAGGATTCACCATTTAAATTTACATTCAACATACTGTGGATGGACGAAATCCTGCATCACCTGAGAAACCATAGCATGATGATTCCCCTGTAAATACCAATAAACCATGGTTTCCCCTGGTTTTAACGTGGTGCGAATTGGACTTCGTCCATCCACAGTAGGATATGGAATCTCTGTGGTTCAGCATTAGTTACTGCTCCCACTGGCGTGCGGCAGAAGCTGTTGGGCACCATTTCCCCGCAGTGGGCGATGTCGTACATGCACTCGTCCCAGTCCTCCATGGCCTGACGAAGGAATCACAGGTCCGGTTCCTAACCGAAGGTCAGCGGTAGCCAAATGGGTGGTGCTCGGTGCTTGAACGAAAGGAGAGCTTGAGGAGCTAAGCAATGGTGAGTTTTTCGAGCTAACCAAAGTCGGTGCTTGAGTGCGAAAAAGAGAAGCAAACACCAGCTTGATGGATGGCCACAGTGCCAAGAAAGGGGCGCTGAGATGCGCAGGGGAGCAACTGTTGCCGGGTGAGCCATGGTGAAAACAGTTATGTTCATACTCCCATCAAAAGAGGCCTTCCAGCGTGCGTCCACATTGACCGTCAAATCGTCGATGACAATCCCAGTATTGTGACCACTAGACAGTTGACAAAGGCCAACAACTGGAAAGGACGACCCCAAAGAACTCAATAACAACACAGCGCCTCTTGGCAAAGGGAATAACAAATTCACAATTCAAGGACTCATCCAGTGCCTGAGGCCAGGTTTCTTGGTGGAGCTCAGCGATTGGGAAGTCATTAGCTGCCGCTCACAGCCAACAAGCGCAAGCCCCCAGTTGCACCACCCATATCCAATCCACTTTTTGGGGACAGTCCCGGGTGCAAGTCAAAGCAAGGGGTCTATTTGGCTCAACAGTGCATAAAAATATATATATATATATGCATCTGCACGGCCACACCATGCACCCTGGCTATGAAATTTCTCTCTGTCATGCATGTGTGCTTTGTCTAATCCGCAAGTGCTGTGGGATGTGCAGGGCAATATGGGTTTGCAACAATTGACATTCAAGGGATGACGATTGGCCCAGGACAAACAGGGCTCGGATGAACCAAGTAATGCAGAACACGTGCATAATTTGGGTTGCCGTCAGGATGTGCGCTACAGGTGAGTGATCAACATACCCTCCCGTCGGCAAGTCCTCGAGCAAAAAGTGGGAAGCACCTAAGCCGTTTGTTTACAATTCTCAAGATGACATCGCGGTTGGGTGGCAAACGATTCACAGTTCCTTCGAACATGTCTGCACCCTCTTTTACAGTCCCAGATCTGCGGATCTCGCCATGGACCAAATCCTGAGTCATGAACTGAAACATGTCTTTGCATTTTAAACTGAAGTCCGCGAAGAACGGCTAAGTCGAACCATCTTTTTGCGGTTCACCCATGGAGGCTGAAGTTTTCTCACTCGCGCCTCTAGGGGCACGCAGGGCTGCGGCAGGCCGCACCCCGAGAGGATCCCCTCCTGAGGGCATGTCTGGGAGGGTATACCTATATACATATATATATATATATACGCTACCCTCCTCTCAGAAAACCCGCGAACAAGTGCATCTTGCTTGTTCTGAGAATCAAGGTTCCCCAGCTTGAATCTTGAACAGCGTGACCGGTAAAACAGCTTGAGGTACATGAGATTCAAGGTCCAAGATTCCCCATACATCTTGTTCCAGCATCTTGGAGCTTGAAGCTCGTGCACTTGTAGTAAGCAAAGTCTTGAAGCAAGGTCTTGAATCTTGACTCTCCAGGAAGCGAAGCACACCTTGGCAGTTCCAGCTCAAAACAACACAACTTTCTGGTGCAAGAGCATTACTTCAATGGGCCTGTGACAGCTCTGATATCGTTCTTGTTGCTCGGAAATCAGCCGGCAAACCTTCCTATTTGGGAAGAGCAATTGACTCCATCTAAATTGCCAATTGAAATTGAAACTCGAATTGATCATAAAGGTGCTCCATGTCCTTTCGCAGGTTCATATAAAATTAAATCCAATTCTAATTGAAATTGTAAGATTCGAACTATATTCTAATGCAACTGCAGGCTACCGAAGGAAAGCAAATCCTAGCAGAAGTGCGCGTTGTTTATCTTACTCAACATGACAGCTATTGGCAAGCACATATTAGACAAGAATATCTTATCGAGTGCAAACCAAACCGCGTGCATTTCCTTCCGCATTGCACATAAATTTCAAACGCAAAGAACAAGAACAACTATTGAATACTTCAGTTTCAAAAGGTAAATTCCCCTTGTCAAATTTCATGCGATTGCAACCAAGCACGAACTGAGCCAAGTCAACGACGGGAAGGTGTGTCAATCAACATGGGTTTGTTCCTTGCCCAACAAATGCAGCAAGCTGCGGAATGTTCAGCCTTTGTCAGGTCATCGTTCCTCCCTCAAAAGAAGGTTAACCGGGCAGCGTACGTCATTTGTCCGGTCAACAATAGAGGGCGGGTCGTCCTGGGGGCTGCGTTTTTTCAGATTTCCGGGGGCTGCGTTTTCAGATTCCTGGTGGCTGCGTTTGTGTCCTCTGATTGGACTCGCCGCTTATTTAATTATTCTCAGTTATAGCCAGCATTTAAGTTGAACTTGATACATACACTAAGTAGAATTTATAAGAAATAGCTTCGAGGTCCCAATATTGACAAATACACAATGTTTGAATGTCTACTGATTTGCAAAGCCGATTCTATTGGAAAAGGAAATCCTGTGTAGCATTTATGTTTATATGGAACCATCATTAAATACATTCTATCTCAACAAAGTTGGATGCTGTCCTTCTGAAATGCCATTTCAGGTGAGATAGAAATTAGGTAGAACTTGATAAGTATATTAAGTAGCTCTCAAAAGGAAATCAATGACGGCCCGAAAATGTTGAGTACATGTTCCTGTGACACATTTATTTTGAAGTATAATAATCCATGTTTCAATTCTACCTTAACATAGAAATTATGATTGGAATCTGTGCTTATAAGCTTCTACTTTATTTCAGTCAGAACTTGATAAAGCTATTAAGTCACAAGGGAAGAATTCAGAGGTTCCGAAATCGTGCTTTTTTCTTACTAGCCCCAGCACTACCATGGTCATGAAACACCGTAAAACACAGTGTCTTGTAGCGGTTTTCGTGCTCAGTTCACATCTCCACCAACAGCCGCTCTTAAAAATCCAGTTCGAATGTGAAAAGGATTTAATTGGGACTCAATAAGGAAATACCTGATCAGAATCCTGCTGCGAATTGCCTCTTACATTTAGACTCTAGACGGAGACCCTGATGTTTTGTTTTTTGGTGTTTGGCCTCCCCAACCAAAAAAAACAACAACAGGCCTTGAACGAGCAAATGAAGATAATGGGCGTGGTTTGTTTTTTCCTTTGTTTGTTTTCTTTTTATCTTTTTTTTTGGGGAAGGGGGGAGGGGTGTTTTTGTTGGTTGTTTGGTCGGTGTTTGACGAACATCGCAGGGATCTGAAAAACGCAGCCCCCAGGGCGTCCCTTTTTGCAAACATGAGGGTCAAGCTGAGAAGCTCCTAGGTCGAACAAGAAGGGCATCTATGTGACAAAATCCCGGAACAACTCAAAGTACTTCTTGGCTGAATTCAAGTTCCGAGATCCAAGATTGCACAGAGACAGTTCTTGCGAACCTTGATTTCAGTCCCACCGCCAAAATATGTCTGTTTGGAACAAGCTGCACACGTTGAGTAAGTGCCCATGATGCTCAACATTCCCACAGAACCGAGGGGCCAACAAAACAAAAACCACCAAAACTCCTACCCCCCCGGGTGACCCCCCAATCAGAGACACTCGACCGTCCAAGCGGATACTCCTCCCAACCGACAATCGCAAACTACATGAGACGCCAATCCTACACCGCCCCACCCTGCAATCGCACACTTTCTCCCTGCCAGCTGGGGCATAGCAAAGCTGAGGTGTTTTGACGGAGGTCTTGGTGGGAGTTGGACAGGACTCTGACGGGGGTTTTGGCGCAAGGCTCTGAGTTTTAGCGGGGGTGTTGACGGGGGTTGTGACGGAGGTTTTGACGGGGGTTTGGACGGGGCTCATTGTCAGTGAGGCCAAGATTCCGCCACCAGGGCTTGAGCCCGAGCCCCTCGGGTGAGAGCCAAGCATCCTAACCAGCTAGACTATATCGGATACTGCCAACTGGCTTTCACACCACAACTAGAGTTGCCCCCTGAGGAGAAAGGTAAAGTTTGGACGGGGGTTTGACGGGGGTTTTGACGGGGGTGTGACGGAGGCTTTGACGGGGGTTTTGACGGGGGTTTTGACGGAGGTTTTGACGGGGGTTTTGACGGAGGTTTGGCCGGAGGGTGTTGACGGGTGCTGTGGCGGAGGCTCTGACGGGTGTTTTGACGGGATTTTTGACGGAGGTTTTGACAGCGGAAGTTTTTTACCCAGTGGGCGCAACCTTGCCAAAACGGGTCTTTTTGGCAGGTTCCGCCCATGGGGCACAACCTTGCGAAAACGGCTCTTTGGGGCAGGTTCCGCCCGGGCCGCACAGCTGCAAAACCCTCCGTCAAAACCTCCGTCAAAACCCTCAAAACGCCGTCCGGGTTGAAACTGATCGTTCCCTGCCAATAGATGACCAACCAGCCATTGTCAGTGAGGCCAAGATTCCGCCACCGGGGCTTGAGCCCGAGCCCCTCGGGTGAGAGCCAAGCATCCTAACCAGCTAGACTATAGCGGATACTGCCAACTGGCTTTCACACCACAACTAGAGTTGCCCCCTGGGGACAAAGGTAAAGTTTGGCCGGGGGTTTGACGGGGGTTTTGACGGAGGTTTTGGCGGGAGTTTTGACGGAGGTTTTGATGGGGATTTGACGGGGGTTTTGATTGACGGAGGTTTTGACGGAGGTTTTGACGGAGGCTTTGACGGGGGTTTTGACGGGGGTTTTGACGGAGGTTTTGACGGGGGTTTGACGGAGGTTTTGACGGAGGTTTTGACAGGGTTTTGACGGAGGTTTTGACGGAGGTTTTGACGGAGGCTTTGACGGGGGTTTTGACGGGGGTTTTGACGGAGGTTTTGACGGGGCTTTGACGGAGGCTTTGACGGGGGTTTGACGGGGGTTTTGACGGAATTGCGGGGTCTACGTTCCTACTTTTCACAGCCTTGTCCCATGTCATGGATTGCGTGAGCGAATGTATCAGGGTGCCACTGGTGAAAGCCATCCCCGAGCCATAACCATCCCTAAGCCATACCAGAACCACCCCGGAGCAAACCAAAAACCAACCCTAAACTGACCCTAAACCAACCCTAAACCAAACCTAAACCAAACCCAAACCAACCCTAAACCGACCCTAAACCAAGCCTAAACCGAGCCTAAACCAAGCCTAAACCAACCCTAAACCCACCCTAAACCAACCCCAAACCAACCCCAAACCAACCCCAAACCAACCCCAAACCAACCCTCAACCAACCCCAAACCAACCCTAGACCGAGCCTAAACCCACCCAAACCAACCCCAAACCAACCCCAAACCAACCCTAAACCAACCCTAAACCAAGCCTAAACCCACACTAAACCGACCCTAAACCGACCCTGAACCAACCCTAAACCAAGTCTAAACCAAGCCTAAACCAAGCCTAAACCAAGCCTAAACCCACCCTAAACCGACCCTAAACCGACCCTAAACCAACCCTAAACCAACCCTAAAGCAACCCTGAACCAACCCTAAACCAACCCTAGCCCAACCCTAAACCCACCCTAAACCGACCCTAAACCAAGCCGAAACCAAGCCTAAACCGACCCTAAACCGACCCTAAACCGACCCTAAAGTAACCCTAAAGTAACCCTAAACCAACCCTAAACCGACCCGAAACCAACCCTAAACCGACCCCAAACCAACCCTAAACCAACCCTAAACCAACCCTAAACCAACCCTAGAAACCCACCCTAAACTGACCCTAAACCAAGCCTAAACCAAGCCTAAACCGACGCTAAACCGACCCTAAAGTAACCCTAAACCAACCCTAAACCGACCCGAAACCAACCCTAAACCGAGCAAACCAACCCCAAATCAACCCTAAACCAACCCTAAACCGACCCTAAACCAAGCCTAAACCCACCCTACACCGACCCTAAACCGACCCTAAACCAAGCCTAAACCAAGCCTAAACCAAGCCTAAACCAGCGTAAACCCACCCTAAACCGACCCTAAACCCAACCTAAACCAACCCTAAACCAACCCTAAACCAACCCTAAACCAACCCTAGACCGACCCTAAACCCACCCTAAACTGACCCTAAACCAAGCTTAAACCAAGCCTAAACCGACCCTAAACCGACCCTAAACCAACCCTAAACCAACCTTGGACCGACCCTAAAACCGCCCTAAACCCACCCTAAACCAAGCCTAAACCAAGACTAAACCGAGCCTAAGCCAAACCTAAACCAACCCTAAACCAACCCCAAACCAAACCTAAACCAACCCCAAACCAAGCCTAAACCGACCCTAAACCAACCCTAAACCAACTCCAAACCAACCCGAAACCAAGCCTAAACCGACCCTAAAGTAAACCAACCGAAACCAACCCTAAAGCAACCCTGAACCAACCCTAAACCAACCCTAGCCCAACCCTAAACCCACCCTAAACCGACCCTAAACCAAGCCGAAACCAAGCCTAAACCGACCCTAAACCAACCCTAAACCAACCTTGGACCGACCCTAAAACCGCCCTAAACCCACCCTAAACCAAGCCTAAACCAAGACTAAACCAACCCTAAACCAACCCTAGAAACCCACCCTAAAGTAACCCTAAACCAACCCTAAACCAACCCTACAACCCTAAACCGAGCCTAAACCAAGACTAAACCAACCCTAAACCAACCCTAGAAACCCACCCTAAAGTAACCCTAAACCAACCCTAAACCAACCCTAAACCGACCCGAAAACAACCCTAAACCGAGCCTAAACCCACCCAAACCAACCCCAAACCAACCCTAAACCAACCCTAAACCGACCCTAAACCAAGCCTAATCCCACCCTAAACCGACCCTAAACCGACCCTAAACCAACCCTAAACCAAGCCTAAACCAACCGTAAACCAACCCTAAACCGACCCTAAACCCACCCTAAACTGACCCTAAGCCAAGCCTAAACCAACTAAACCGACCCTAAACCGACCCGAAACCAAGCCTAAACCGAGCCCTAAACCAAGCCTAAACCGACCCTAAACCAACTCCAAACCAACCCTAAACCAAGCCTAAACCAACCGTAAACCAACCGTAAACCAACCGTAAACCAACCGTAAACCGACCCTAAACCAACCCTAAACCAAACCTAAACCAAACCCAAACCAACCCTAAACCGAACTAAACCAAGCCTAAACCAAGCCTAAACCGAACCTAAACCGACCCTAAACTAACCCTAAACCAACCCTAAACCAACCCTAAACCAACCTTGCACCAACCCTAAACCGACCCTAAACCAACCCTAAACCAAGCCTAAACCAACCGTAAACCAACCCTAAACCGACCCTAAACCCACCCTAAACTGACCCTAAGCCAAGCCTAAACCAACTAAACCGACCCTAAACCGACCCGAAACCAAGCCTAAACCGAGCCTAAACCCACCCAAACCAACCCCAAACCAACCCTAAACCAACCCTAAACCGACCCTAAACCAAGCCTAATCCCACCCTAAACCCACCCTAAACCGACCCTAAACCGACCCTAAACCGACCCTAAACCGACCCTAAACCAACCCTAAACCAACCCTAAAGCAACCCTGAACCAACCCTAAAAACCGACCCTAAACCAAGCCGAAACCAAGCCTAAACCGACCCTAAAGAAACCCTAAACCAACCCTAAACCAACCCTAAACCGACCCGAAACCAACCCTAAACCGACCCTGAACCGACCCTAAACCAACCCTAAACCAACCCTAAACCAACCCTAGACCGACCCTAAACCCACCCTAAACTGACCCTAAACCAAGCCTAAACCAAGCCTAAACCGACCCTAAACCGACCCTAAAGTAACCCTAAACCAACCCTAAACCGACCCGAAACCAACCCTAAACCGAGCCTAAACCCACCCAAACCAACCCCAAACCAACCCTAAACCAACCCTAAACCGACCCTAAACCAAGCCTAAACCCACCCTAAACCGACCCTAAACCGACCCTAAACCAAGCCTAAACCAAGCCTAAACCAAGCCTAAACCCACCCTAAACCGACCCTAAACCCACCCTAAACCAACCCTAAACCAACCCTAAACCAACCCTAAACCAACCCTAGACCGACCCTAAACCCACCCTAAACTGACCCTAAACCAAGCTTAAACCAAGCCTAAACCGACCCTAAACCGACCCTAAACTAACCCTAAACCAACCTTGGACCGACCCTAAACCCACCCTAAACCCACCCTAAACCAAGCCTAAACCAAGACTAAACCGAGCCTAAGCCAAACCTAAACCAACCCTAAACCAACCCCAAACCAAACCTAAACCAACCCCAAACCAAGCCTAACCGACCCTAAACCAACCCTAAACCAACTCCACACCAACCCTAAACCAAGCCTAAACCGACCCTAAACCAACTCCAAACCAACCCTAAACCAAGCCTAAACCAACCGTAAACCAACCGTAAACCGACCCTAAGCCAACCCTAAACCAAACCTAACCCAAACCCAAACCAACCCTAAACCAACCCTAAACCAACCTTGGACCGACCCTAAACCCACCCTAAACCCACCCTAAACCAAGCCTAAACCAACCCCAAACCAAACCTAAACCAACCCCAAACCAAGCCTAAACCGACCCTAAACCAACCCTAAACCAACTCCAAACCAACCCTAAACACCCTAAACCGACCCTAAACCAACCCTAAACCAAGCCTAAACCAAGCCTAAACCAAGCCTAAACCCACCCTAAACCGACCCTAAACCGACCCTAAAACCCACCCTAAACCAACCTAAACCAACCCTAAACCAACCCTAAACCAACCCTAGACCGACCCTAAACCCACCCTAAACTGACCCTAAACCAAGCTTAAACCAAGCCTAAACCGACCCTAAACCGACCCTAAACTAACCCTAAACCAACCCTAAACCAACCCTAAACCAACCTTGGACCGACCCTAAAATCATCGATGAGTGCGCGGGTCGCGAGTACGTGATTCACGGGTCTAAGAGTATCCGATGACAGACGGCAGAACCGTATCCGATTGGACGGGCCAGTACGCAGCTGGCAGTTTTCTCCCTACCCCCCCCCCCCCAAAACCCCCGCCCAGTGTCTGAATCTTGAGGGCCCTTAGTTTTGACACGCCCCATGGAACGTGATCATAGGCCTGGTCAAAAGGATCCCTCAGGTCGGAGAAGGAAACTGTGTTTCACATGACGCGTCGGGTTTCACATTCAAAAAACATCATGCAGGATAAAAAGAACTGGCTCGGCCAATCCTGGCAGGCAAGCCTCCAAAGTCAAGAATGCCGACCCCTTGGACTTCTGGTGATAGATGTGTTATGTAATCCTGTTACTTAGTTATTTGCATGAAGGGCAAGGATGCAAGATATTTCTTGTGACGTCGCAATTATCTGCCACAAAATAACAACTAACATGGTACACGCTCAACTGACATAAAGTACCCTCTCTAAAGTATCAACTGTCTAAAAAAAGGAAAACAAAACTGGACCCACAAGTTTGAGAACGTGGCTTCGCCGGCCTAGGGATTCTCTGCAAGGCTTTTGGCCCCTTCGCCACTCTCCTGCACCTCGCAAGGGTAGGACCGGTGCCCCACAGGCACCAAGACGCTTTCACAGCGCCTCAAGCGCCGGGCTGAAAGCTGCGGACCCTTGAGGTTGCACCAAAGTTAAATTAGACGGGCCCTCATTCAGTGGGGGGGAGAATTGCGCCTGCTTTCACCTCAATGTAGTGTTTCTCTCCGCCATTCCCCACCTGCGTACCGAAATGTACCGAAATATTGAAAGAGAATCGGACGCATGGCACACCAATAGGACACTGCAACATGTTTTTTGTTTCTGAACATGTGCAGGGAATCCGTCTGACATTGTTTGGATCATCGTGGGTGGGTTTATTTGAGGGTTGGCCCTGTGATCATCGCTTCCCATGCCAAAGCCCTACTAGCTCTGCTGAATCCTCTCTCATCCTCTCTCTCTCTCTCTCTCTCTCTCTCTCTCTCTCTCTCTCTCTCTCTCTCTCTCTCTCTTGTTAGCCATCTATCAACCCCTACCACTGTGGAGGCAAGTCATCCGATAAACACCCCCCACCCATTTTGCCAAGTCAAACGCCACTTGTGCGACCTTCCCAAAGCCATCGGCAACCCAAGGCGCTATTCTGCTCCCCCCCCTCCCATTCAATTTAGGGGTCGCAGAACCCCATTCAATTTAAGGGTCGCAAAACCCGGATGTATGCGTGGTTGGGATCAACCCGGAGAACGTTCTCAGCCAGTGACTGCACTAGCCTCAAAACACATGTGGGTGATCCAAAACAACGAATATCGTGCGATTGCAGGGCATTGTGACATATACAAATGGTACAGTATGCGTGGGGTACTAAGAACCACCGGACGTTTAGCCATCAGTTGTAGAGCAACACACACACACACACATACACCAAAACACGCTCCCACGCACGCACACATACAAATTCGGCTGAAGCGCACGGCAGCAACGCCGGTCTTATCGTCGGCGCAGCGCCAGCCAATTGGAGACCCGGGATCCTGAAGCAGGCTCCACGACAACTCGCCGCAACTCTCACAGGCTGGCCATGTTTTTGCAGACACAGACTGCATCTTAGCGACACAAACCTCAGATCCACGAAGCAATGCGCCTAACCAATGCCAATGTCACGCCCATATAATCATATTATATATATATATATATACGTATATACTTATATATACATACACATTCCCTACGTCTCCTTGGCGTAGTCGTCGCTGTGCGTCACCGGGTCAGGGCACTGATCGAAGCTGCACATGGGGCGCTCCCAGGCCGCCTCTCCTGGAGCCGGGTCGTCTTTCTGGGGGATGCCTGGTGCCGGCGAAGGTTGGGTATCATTTCAGAAAAGGCACGGTTTGATTGATGTCAGTAAAGTCGGGCAGGGCCGGGGAAGTTTCGATAGAAGGGAAAAACTATAGTTTGAAGTTTTTTTCTTTTCCATCTCTCTCTTTTGGCTTGTTGTTTTCTCTCTTTCCATCTCTCTGTCGTTTTCCATCTCTTTCCTCGAATCCGTTTGGGCCCATCCTCCTACTCCTGCCGACTGAACGCGCTATCTCAGCTTTTTTGGGGGTTGTCGAGATTCCTCAACTCAAAAGGAAACCAATCACATACTCATCCAATCCGCACAGCCCAGCGCTTTTTTTTGCCGCACCTCATTCGGAGTTGTACCACTTCCACAGGCATGCTTTGCAAACTGCACGCGCAGCGCTACTTGTGAGCGCAGCCGTGCGAGAGCTGGCAACACTACTGCGTGCATACGGCTCACCTCGGAAGCTTGCCACTGTACGTCTGACTCAAAACAACAGAACAAAACAGAGAAGAAAATTTGGAACAAGGAAGCAGTACACAGAAGCAAACAAATGAAACAAGGCAGCTAGGACACAGAAATAAAGACATCAGAAACAGAGAAACCAGGGCGCAAAGAGAAACAAATAAAAACCAAAAAAAGATACAACGAAACAACGTTGTTACACATATATATGTATGTGTTGTTGTTGCTCTTCCCCGTTTTCCCCCCTTTGTGTTTGTTGAAACTCCCAAAAAAAGCAAGACATATCTCAGTGCTTACCACTTTAAAATGGTGTGCGCAAATATGTAGGAGTCTAGAACTGTAGACATATACAGAGGTTTAAGCAAATACAGAACATGTGTGTGTGTACACATATATGTTTTATGTATGTATGTATGTATGTATGTATGTATGTATGTATTTACATATCAGATTCACGCTCAAGCCAACCATGATGTAAGCTCAGAATACGAATGGCATTCAGCTACTCATCTTTCAACATGTGCACTTCCACAAATCTAATTCCTACTGCTTTGGTACTTTCCATATTTTAGCATTGATATGTTGAGTATTGCATTTGAAGTTATATAACAGTATCAACAAACAACTGTTTCTCATATACACATACATGACTCTATGTGTGTATATGTGCGTGTCTGGGTTTCTGTGTTAAGTAGTTTTTCATTGCGCCCTTGATTCTCTATTACGTGTTTCGCTGTTTCCTTGCTTGTCTGTGTTTCATTGTTCCTTTGTTTCTTCTTTGTCGCCCCCGCGCCCATGGCTCCTTACATCATCCTTCTTGCTGTTCCAAGCCAGCCTCCCGGACCAGCCCACCGCCAAAAGAATTGGCTACGAACTTTCCCACCAGTGTGCCTGCTGTCTCAGCTTTTTCGCCTCCCGATTACGCTGTCTCAGAATTGGCCCCGCCGGGCCACGCTATCTCAGAGGTTTCCCCGGCGAGCCACTCTGTCTCGCGGCATGCCCGATTCCGTGAGATAGGTAGTTGCGCGCGGAGAAAAAAGCGCCAACACTATTTTTCCTCTTCGGATTTTTTCTCACATGTTTCTGTTTTCCCGCCTCAACACTCTATCTCGCAGTGTCGGGTTTTTCCTGCGCAGCTGTTGGCCCTGAGCGAGAGAGCGCGCGCCGTCATCTCCGTCCGCCGGCGCCCAAGACCAAAAAACAACTCCCTTACTCCCTCCAGGCTTCCGACCCGCTGCCACTCCCCGCCCCTCCCTTCGCCCCCTCGTGCGTTTGTTGCGATTTCCTGGGTCGTGCGTCAACCAGCATCTCCAACGCCGCTATTTATTGTGGGAAATTGCCTTTCGCGCGATGCAGGCGTGCGTAGCACGGACATACTGCTTTGCTACGTTCATGGTTTGGCGTTGGCAAGCTTGAGTATTTCATTTGATTTATTATGCATAGGTACCACCAACTGTATGTATATATCTACACATTGTCTGCGTTACGTCGCTTGTTGCTGTCGTTGGTTCTCTGTAATGTGTGTCTTGTTTTCTTTGTGTCTCTGTGTTGTTCTGCCTTTGATTCTTCGCTTCTTTGTTGCAGAGCTTCTGTTTCATGGGTTCTTTGTTTCTTCTTTGTCGCCACCGCATTCATATTTAGGAATGTTGGGAAAACATTCGGAAACCTGAATTGTTTGGATTTACTAGAACCATTTTACAGGTATCAACAAAACATAGCATGTGTTGGTATAAGTATACAGGTGTGTACACACAATTTGTACATGTCTTGGTTTCTTGATGCTTTGTTTCTTTTCTGCAAGAACCGTAAACTCTAAGTTTGTCAATTCTTGGTTAAGCCTTGTATATGACATTGCCCCGTGACTCAAAACAACTCACATTCAAGCCAGCATCTGCCTTTTTGCTTCCAAAGCACGTTGCAAGACCCATCTCAACCTGTGCTTTCTGAGAAACTGAAAGATGTGTTCAAAAGGAATCGTTTTCCATCTCTGTCCATCTCTTTGTCTCTCTTTGCCTCTCTTTGCATCTCACCCTTTTGCGCGGAACTTCTTGCATTTGCGCGGCTGCCCACGTTGCACGCGCCGATACGAAAACGTTGCCCCAAAACAGCACGCCTGTCATGCACAAACGCAGGGCGGGGCCAAGCAGGCACCAAAAACGGCTCCCCAGCCAAGCAAGCGCCTGTCGGGCACTCGCAAGTACCTCGCAGGCGGCAGCTGCCTGCAGCCCAAAATGAGGTCAAACGTGACACATGCCTTATCCACTTGCATCTGGACACTTTCACAGTCTTTGCTGAGCATGATCACTGCCTGTAAGCGATCGCCAGCTACACTATCTCTCCATCTCGATCTGTCTGCCTCTATTTTTCTCTCCCTCTCTCCCGCTGTCTGAATATCTCACAATCTTTCGGTCTCGATATCTCCCGATCTCTCTATGTCTCCATCTCTCTGCCAACCCGCTCCAAGCCCGCTCCGGGCCCGCTCCGGGCGGCCGCTCCACACCCGCCTGCGTCAGCCGTCGCGACCGAGGTAGTTTGCGCACATGCGGAGTCGAAATCGCGCAACGGGCTGCGCTGTCGGCCAGCTTCTATTCCCCAGCTCTCGCTTTGTATAGCTCTTTCCTAGGTTGTTCACGCGCGTAGCATCCATTCGATCTATTTACAGAGAGCCAGCTCAGTGCTACGGAAGTTCTTGCAAAACTTCCTTTGATCAAAATACCTGAATCGTGTGACAAACTTTGAAAGATTGGTCCTGGAGTCCTACAATCTGACAGTGCATGTCTTGGATTGTCCTGTGTCTCAGGCCCTCTAAATAGCAGGCCTGGCTCTGCGCCCGTTTGAAACCAAAGGAAGGATTTGACACATTATGTTGACCCCATGTTGATCAACTCCTGTTGATTAATAGGGGGTGTCCCTGGGTTTTGTGGGGAATGATCACTTTTGGAGGGCCTAGTATTGAACAGCGGTTGAGAAATATGGGGGCAAAATTGCCCATGAATCCCCGTCATGCCTTCAGCGGGCCTGGCAAGTTGTCAAGCAATTGTCTTCAAACCATGCAGCGTTGTGACACTACGCCCTTTGTTCCATAAGTCTCAGAAGCATATTCAAAAACTCGAGTGGCCAAGCTTTTGGCCAAGTGGGCGTATCTATGACCAGCTGCTTGCAGAAATCACAGAGCATCATCAAGCACCGACAGCCAAACCAATATTGGCGGGGTTGACTATCTTGAAGCCCTTACCCTCGCCTTGAAGTGGCACTTTTGCCTCATGGCGCTGACTTCAGTCAACATGCGTCGATGTTACACGAGTATCAGTTGGCAAAGGTTAGCTGGACTCCCTGGACCCTCTGAACCACGACACCCAAAGGAACCGGACCATGTGTGGAGGACTTGTCATGCACGAGGCGTGGCTTTTTGCGGGTTCGAAAAGAAATTGAACACCGACACCCACCCCTTGAAACGCGACGACAGTTAACCTCGCCTGCAGGGACGATGGCAAAACACACACACACACACAAAGGAGAAACAACAAAACACATGGGTTCCCTTGAAGGTCACCGATTCCCATTGCCGACTTCTCCTTGTGGGTCCGTGTTCTCCGCCCCGCACCAGGCCAGCGCAGATGTGCCCTCGTAGGGCGCCCGGCAATGGATCTCGCACTGGGAGCCTACGGAAACAACGCGACAGCGCCTCTGATGCTTCTGGGGGTTTCTTTCAGATCGGGCAATGCTTTCAGCGGGGAAAAAGGGGAAACCGCGTTCAAGAGGAGCCCTTTAGGAAGATTGTAAGGTCTCAGCTTTCGAGTCTGGATATGGTACACAAACCAACCCAAAGGGTCCAAGTGCCTGAGGTTCAATCCGTTTAACCTCCAACAAAATCCCAGGGCACTTGGAATGTCCGAGACCTGGTTACGGATTCACCCAGTGCGTCTGTGCGAGAATCGTATGCAAGCAAATTTAGCTGCCTTGGGTGAGGTCGCAAAGCTCCAAAACCCCAGGTCGCCATTTCATTCGCCCAGTGGAACACGGGCAACCACGATGGAATGTATGATCAAGCCGGTTGGCTGTCATACACATTGGGAACTTGGACAGGTTGGTGCCGCTTGGTTTTCGTGCGAAATAATAAGCAACCGAAGAGCACTTTAGTGATCCAGTGAAAAGATATGTCGCACATCAGTATGGACCCTGACAGTCACAGGTGCTGAGCGGCTTGCCATGGCCAACTTGCTCTGGCAAAAACAAAGCTTGCTGCGCAAACCTTCACATTGTCATTGTCACCAACTCTGCCTTGAAAATGACACAACTACTGACACAACTTGGTGATTTGGTGCATAAAACAATGATTTGCCAATCCATAGCAAACGGCTAGATCCCAAATGTGATGCCTTTGGTCGGAATTTTGCGCAATGATGAAACTCAGTCGGCCATCGTTCCAAGATGAAATGCATTCCAAACAATGCTTTGTATCCAACGACATGTGCTGTGAGGCCCCCTCTAATGAGATGCTTCTGTTTCTGAAACTCATTCAGGCGCCTGCCATAGGCGGAACCGGCAACAGCTCAGCGCATGACACCAACGCCTGGAACACAGCAGCCCCAGGCGTCTTTTGGACAAATGAGACGGCGTCATTATGTATTGTTCACCGAAACAAAACAAAACAAGGGCACACTTCAAAAGCTTTGCCCGCCGTCCCTTCAGTTCCCTTCAACACGCTCCCAGAAAAGGCCGGTTTCCCTCTGGTGTTCCTTTCAGCAACCCGACGAAGCGTGGTTTTCGCACGACGACCAGCCCCTGCCTGGCTCCATGCGTTCCGGGCAGCGAGCCTGGAAGCGGCAGGTGTCCTCACCAAAGGTGGGCCTGGCCAACGCGGTGTATCGGGGGACCCGAAAATCGGCTTCGGTTTGCCGATTGGCTTCCCTTCACCCCAAAAAACAGTCAACCATCGAAAACCCTTGGAATCACAAACGCACACACACACAACCCTTCGGGGTGCAGGGTGGTCGCTCACCTGGAACATAACGACCTGAAGATGAAAATCGACCATTTGCGGGAACTTGTTTGAAGCTCGCATTTAGACCACCAACCACGACACAAAAAAGATGTTGCAAGAATTCACCAAAGTGAAGGAAGGCCCCCAAGGTGAGTGCACCCTTCGTAGGTGAGCTGCCCAACCTCCTGGGGCCGAAACAATTCGTTCTTCCGTCCCATAAAGCGTCAACTTGCTAAAATGTCGGAAACTTGTTACAGGGATGCAGCGGCACAGTGGTCCAGAAAAAAGAAAATAACATCTACCCTTCTGCAGATTAGCATGGGGCCCAAAACACAATTTCTAGCGGAATCTTCTTTATGGGAACCCCCTTATTTTGGGTCCCATGTAAAATCTGCTGGGGAGGCTTGGCTCTGTTGCTGGCGACTTTCGGAGTTGGCTCCTGCTAATCTAACATGCTGGCAAAGTTCTCCTGTTGAACCTTCAAGCAAATGCTCAGAAGATCAGGTCACCCAACCCAGTGCATCCAAGTACCACTATTTCATGCTACCTCAGCTTCATAGAAGTAACTTTCGTTCAGAGCCAGGTGAAAAACACAACTTGCTTGCTAAGCCAGGTGCGCCCAAACTTTTCCAAGCGGGTGAACCCTGAAAGTAGCTACGCTCGTGCACCACTACGCACTAGCACCCACACAAAACCGTAGGCAGGCCCTTCCCATTCGCCTCAGGCACGGCACAATGGGCAGGCAACCGTCCAGGTGAAGTTCCGCACCGCACCTGCGGAGAACAAAGCCGAAGCCCAGGGAAAGGGTAGGTGTCAAATGGGGCGGACCCGTGTTTTTTTTCAGGCGGTACCCGCATCTAGTTTGCTTGAAGAGAAACCAACAAGACCTATAACCCCTATTTTGGGGTGGAACTCTTTTGACATGCCCATTTGGGTGCAACCAAGGCTTCACTGCTTGAGCTAATCCTCCCAAATCACAGGCTTGCAAACATCAGGCGCCCTGAGGATGTTTTTGACAGCGACTGTCTGCGGGAATGTGAGTGAACACTCGGGCGCCCTGTCCTTCTACGATGAAGTGCAAGAGAGCCTTAAAGTGCCAAAGAAACATCTAGTGGCTCAGGACCTGTCTTAAAAGGTACCCTTCTAGACTGAATTTTGCGGGAAAGTTTGGGCGAATTTGGGGATACCCATATTTTTGACAAACCCATACTTTGAGTCGGATCGTGTGTCTTTGAGTCCAGGATAGTCCAGGGTGGCAATCAGTGTTGCGCCCTTCGCGCAGCCGGCAGTGCAGCTAGTATGCCCCCTTTCTTGTATGCCGCCAGTGTGAGCAAGTCGAGGGAATCTTCTTCACGTCGCCATGTAGTTATCCTATATAATACATATGTATGTCCGGAAATATGTATATATACACACACACTATACACATGTGTATACATATATGTATTTCTGAACTTGTCATGAAGGGAAAATGAATTTTCTGACTCCTCCGAATAACGCAGCGATTGCCATGCCTCCAGCTGGGCCGACATGAGGCCCTTGCCAGGCCCGCGTAGCCGGGAGCACAGCGCCAGCCCTCGTTGGTCTTCTCCTTAACATTTTCTTGTTGGGCACCCTTTGGTGGGCGTTATGAGGGGTTGTCAAATTAGAGGGCCTTTTAGGCATCCCCTTTAGAAGGCGGCACAAGGCGGGCACCTGCATGCAAATAAAGGCCATGCGTTTCGCAACTTCCCACATGTTGCTGGGAATTATGTCCAAACACGAGGGGCTGCCCTATAAAAACGCATCTGGGCTTGTGACGGCGGAAAAGTCCAACGCTTGCGGCTGGTGGCCACAAACAGCCCGAGGTTTTCAGGCTTGAAAGGGAAGCCCAAAGGAAAACCGGAATGGAGCGGCCCCGATTTTGACACATACCCAATATCAAAGTTGGACCCAGGAGGACAGGAAAGGCACCACAACTGACTGTGACAACTCCAAAGTGTTAAAGTAATGAGCTCATAGTGAGCATGCACCAAGGGGGAAGGGCTCCAAACACCGAGAATAGCAACATGAGCAAGCGTTCCATCTTGCAGCAATTCATCCGGCATTGTGTTTGTTCCCTTCTGCCCGTGCCTTCCGGAGCCAACGACTACAGCTCGCTTCGGGCTGCCTCAAGGCTTCCAGTGGCTTAGGGCCAGGAATCTGGCGGTTTTTGGCTTTGGATTCGTAGGACGATGTCTTAACAGCATTGCTTTGCACCTCTGCATTCCCTGGCAAATGCAAACGAATAGCTTTCAAGGCTTTATGTGCGTTGGATTCTGCCAATGTTTCTGGAGGACCAAACCTCCAGCCAACTTCTGTGTTAAAATGTGACAGGTGTGAATCCTGCATGTACCTTGGAGTTTTCCGTCAAAAAGGAGTCATTTGTGTTGTGATTTATGATATGCTACATGTTTGACCTTGCACTTGAATTGTTGGTATGGTGACTAGGCATAGCCACTTGCAGGCAACAGCATTCACGAGTCGACAAACACCACTTCTGAGTTTGGGTGCGTTATTGTTTTAAGGGCGCCCTTTGCAGGTTGGCAACTCATGAAAACCACAAACTGTTGGGGTTGCCTATTTTGATCCACAAACATACACATAGGTGGGTCAGCCCTCTGCCCCTGATGCTCGTCCAAGGGGCGTAGCCTGCAACCCCTGCGTCGCATGAAAGGCGGCAGTCCGGAAACGCTGGCACGATGGGCGTCTGTGACGGGTCGACGTTGTCCTGCAGACACAGCACCAATTCGCGGCCTAAGTGTTCAGTCTTTTCGTGGCCCCATTGAATCATGGTGTTTGATTTCCAATGAGCAACACATTTGGCACATCCTCTTGGGTTGGTCGCATATTTCACCTTGAAACCCGGACGACAACAGGCGGTCCAAATGAAAGGCGCTCGGCTATGCTTACGCTAGTTTGGTTTGGGAGTTGAGTTGTCACAGTGCTTGTCAAGCAGCCTTGCAGCGCTCTGCGTGTGCGAAGTGGTAAAAACTAAGTTATTCTGAAGGACCACAACGTTCGCCATGTAAGCGTTTGGCAGAGCTAAAGGTGCACAGAAACGTGATACGATTCTTCAGCTTGTCCTTAGCGCGACTCGGTGAAGGGTTCATTTCATGCTGCGTGCTCCGCTCTACGGAAAATGCAATTGAGGCAACGAATGCTCGAAGCTGCCAAATAGCCCCTCAGAAAGCAGGAAAGCCAGCCTGCCAGCAAGCAAGCAAGTCAGCTAAGCCAGCCAAGCCAGCCAAGCCAGCCAGCAAGCGAAGCGAGCAAGCGGGTCGGAATGGAGCGGAGTGGAGCGAGGCAACGTAAAGCAAGCATTGACACAAAAAGTTGTGCAACCTAAATCGGCACAACAGCGTGACAAGCAAACGCGTAAAGAAAATATACATGTCGGCCTCAATCACTAACTAGTCCGTGAAGTGTAGCAGACCACTGGAAGTGGGCAAAAGGACACGCTTCTATAGTTGAGTTTTAGAAAGCTAGATAGGGTCTAGTGTCAGCCAACCCGGGTAGCTGGCTGGTGCTGTAAGCATCTGGTCAATGGGCTGGGAGTCAGCGTTTGGTCAAAAATCCCCGACTTCCTCTATGCTTATAACAGGTCGCGCCAAGACTCGAGGATGAAACAGACAATATCCTAAGGGTTGACTCCCCAGTCACTTCACCCAACGCTCTCTATAGAAACCACCCATTCCCCCTGTTGTTTGAACATAATGATCCTTGCAAACCATGGAAAAGGCACGGCTAGAAGCAGTTGCCAATGTCAATGAGCCAACTGGATCCATACTTCAGAGACACCATAAAAACTGAAGGAGCCCTTTGGAGTTCCCCAGATGTGTGTCATCAAATATATATATATATATATAAACATACAATCTTGTATACAATACATGTGTATGTGTAACTATATATATATATATACATATGTACAATAGTTGAAGTACCCTAGTAGGCCAAGCGAAGGGCATGGTGCCCTCCCTTCGGGGACCCTCCGCATGCCTCCGGGCAAAAGGCATCGGTGTGCTGCCCGTGCAAGCCCTCGGGGCACTCCACCGCGCAGGTCTCCCCGGGATCTGTCACCACGCCTGCGGAGTGAGGAAAACAACAAACAACACTAGGTCCTCCAGCACCCACCCACCCGCCCGCCCACCCACCCACCCGCCCGCCCGCCCGCCCACCCACCCACCGCCCAATTTCCTTTGTGGGATAAGCCAAGGAGATGATGAAGGCCAAATGCAGAGTGCCATCTACATGCAGTGCATTTTATCAGGATGCGGAGTTGCATCGGGGGCCGTCAGCGCCTGTGGAAGGAAGGCGGCGAAAAAGGGGCGTGCCTCCAATCCAATTTAGGCATGGGGCATTTTGGCTTGGGGCTTGCCGCCGGTGTGGGTTTCATTGAAGTGTGGAGGGCATCAACATGACATGTGAGCGAATGGGCCGTGCCGGGGGCAAAATGAGGGTTCCAAGGCACATATCGCTGCAAACATCTCCAAACAATGGCACTCAGGAATCCAGCTAGTTTCAGGTCTAGACTGGCCGCGGAACAAGTCCAGGTCTGTGACCCAAAAACGGCTTGTGACAAACGAGATGATATGATACACCTGACACATGTTGATATTCCATGCATGTCCTAATTGCTTCTTTCTTGTTTCTGGCCGTCGTTTTGGCAAGGGGTCTCATGCAAGGTCATGTTCAATCCCTGACCCTGGACCCTCTCCCGAAGGGATCAAAGCCATTTAGATCTGTTGCGCTCCCTTGTGGCTCGCTTTTGCATAGTGTATGTATATGCCCTTTCCACATCACCACAAAGGGAAACTGCAACAAGATTATCAGATTGGCCCAAAAGCAATGTTACCCAAACACAAAAGGGCGTCCTTGTTGGGCATGAGTTTGATTTGGCCACATGATGGATATCCAGAAATCATGATGTGGCTGTGGGTCAAAAATAGGTACCCATAATGGCACCCTGGTAAATGGAAACAATGACTAAAACCTGCGGTCCAATTCCTGGTGGTTTAATTTTGACCCATACCCATGTGGCTGTGGCTCAAAATTCAAGAGCTAGGGTTACGGGGTTTTAGTCTTGGGTTCCATTTAGCAAGGTGCCATTTTGGTACATTTATTTGAGCCACAGCCATGTATGGAAAACCACTGCCTTTGAGTCGCTACCGCTCCCACCTCCTCCCGACTCCCCGACACCCCGAGCCCGGCCGCTGCACTGCGTCTCGTACTGCTGCAAGTCCAAGGCTGCACAGGGCCTCAGCGCCTCGCAGCCTGCGGCTTCGGCGTTGCCCAGGGCCCAAGCCGGAAAAGCTGGACAATTCTAGGGGTACCTTCCATTTCCATTCTTTCCAGGGATCCGGATCTTTCAAGAAAACCTCCGGAAACCCAGGGAAAGCGGCCAGCTTTTGGAAAGAACCATGGTTGAAAAGAATGGGGAATCAACCAGTAGAAAAATTGGTCGAACGGTCCACTGGGCTGCGTGAAAAGAAATCGGGTCCAAGCCAAGTTTTCAAGTACCGGGAAATTCTGGCAACTTGGCTCGAGCAGCTTTGTTTGGCTGGTTTCTGCTGTGGACCCTGAATCCGACTTGCAACAGCATCAATACAAGAGCAATACATGAGCTATATAGTGCATTGATATGCAAAGAAGCATGCACACCGAATCATTCAATCCCGCAGCCTTTGAATCGCATTCTGAGTGGAACTAACGCTATTTGGAAAATTGCAAATGCGGCAGACATAGTTCATGGACTCAGGCAGATTTTCCGCTACCAGCTTACGGCACTGACATTTGTGACTGGCTTGATTTCAAGAGAGCCACCCTTTTGCACCCAAGTGAGAACCCCAGAATGGCCGCAACCACGGTAAAGAGGCTAAAGCTCAGGCCATGTGTACAACTGGGCAAAGAGGGGTGGGGGTCAGAGTAAGCCATGTGGTTGCTATCAAAAGCGATGCGTTGCATGGGCTTAGCTTGCAGTCAGCAGGAAATTGCCTTGGGGAAACGACACTGCGCGGATTTCCTTCAACACTCGAAGCATTAAACAATGAGGTTCTAGTTTGTTGCAGTGCTATAACTATGTGGTTGGTTTACTCCCTTCTTACTGATTCGGACGGAAGAGATCATCCACTCCACTGCTGGTCTTTGATTTGTTTCAACTAAACCTTCCAGCCATTCATCAAGGTGTCACTGTTTAATGGGGATTCCGCGTTAGGGCTCCTGCTGATTCAAAACTGGGATGAGAGCTGGGGCACTTATTCTGGCAAGCTCACCTGGCTTACAACCAGCTCACCCATGATGAAGATCCCTTGTGACTCACGGATTTCTGAATTGAGGTTGGTAGTAATAAGTGCAGATGGCAGTCAAACCCAACCAGGACACAGTACATAGCCCTTTCACACCGGTAGGATTGTATGTCAAGCGAATTTACAGGTCCATTGCGAAGCTTACAGGACTGGGGCGTCAGCTGGCTTGTCCTGCAATTCCATGTTTGCCACTGTTCAAACAACAGATCACATCTGAGCTGCTCACAGTACGTTGCGGCAATAAACCGATAGGGGACATGCCCAAAATTACTCTGTCCTGGTCGAATTGTCCATTGGTCATGATATAAACCAACATCACAACGACCGCCCTTCTGAAATCCTGGCTGACTGTAGTCCTGAAATAAGCCAGGATGATCATTAATCATGACCGTTGCGTTGTGTTCTAACTTATCCGTTCCAGCTTTGAGACAGATGGACTGTTCACGCAGACAAGGGATCAAAAGAGACACATGTGGAAAGATAGTGGAATCTGTCTGGACAAGTAGTTCCTTGCAAGGAACGCGGGAACATAGGCGGACTCAGTAGGTTTGACCCCCTGGCTTCGCCAGGAGCCTTCCTGCTTGGATGATTGTGGTGTGTCATGTTTTACCGGATGTTGCACAGTGTTGAAACGGGGTTGTGGACATTTGAATGCACACGTCGAAGGAAACAATAGCATTGGGGATATGTCCTTTCGCCACATTCGCAATAGCAATGACAGTCCCCGACCCATGAAATCCGCTTGGTGTGTACACTATCTAGCATTGTAAAGAGAATACCGACGAGAAAAACAACATCTACCGCACAACATCTGGCATTTGTTTGTTCAAATCTGCAGCTTTGGCCATGCCTCAAGTCAGAGAGTCCGTCAGTCCATCTGTCATTAACTCAGTGAGAGAGTCATTCATTGTGTCAACCAGCCAGCCAGCCAGCAAACAGGGCAGGCAGTCCTGTCAACCAGTCAGGTCAGCCTAGCTTGGTCAAGGTTGGTTACCCAAATGGTTCGCTGTACCCCGCCTTGACCTTCCCCCTTTGGAAGGGAATCTCCTCTTACCCCGGGTTCCTTTACAACGTCCCCCACGTTGGCTCGGAAAGCGGTCCTGTGAGATTCCCGATGCCGGTGCAGTTCTCGCCCTCTGCGAAGACACCACAGCTGTAGCTAGCGTTGCCCACAAAGCCTTCAGCGCAGACCTGGCACGGCTGGAGTTCAAAGCTTCTGGTTTTCTCATTCCAACCCTCTGGGGTAAAAGGGGGAACTTTTCCACTCCTCGCTCCTCATTTCCTTTGGGTTTCGGGAAGGTTGAACTGGTAAGAGTGGTCAGCAAGCAGCTTCTTGGAAAAAAAACACATCCGCCACATCAGCGGCAGGTTCTCAATCGGGATGCCCGATGTTGAGGGGTTCAGGGTGTCCAGTCTCTGAAATGGACACCCTCTCTTCAAGTTTTGAGTACTTTTGGGAAAATGCCTCTACAAGGGGCTCACCCCCACACACAAAAAAGCCACATTGGAACCCAATTCCACGGTGACACGCGCACACACAAGACAAAACCAACAACAATACTACACGGGTACCCAACAAGTCTGAACCGAGAAGCTAGCTCGCTGTGTCGCTCCGACTTTGCCGCGCAACTACCTTGCCTGGGCTTGAAAATCATGATGTTTGCATCCCCACATACCAAAGATGTGTGGGTTTTCCTTTGCTCCTTTGCCTTAAGTTTCAACCATCCGGGAAGCCAGGGTCCAAGTGACCCCGCCCGATGAAGAAGACTCAGAGGTTTGGCATGGCTGGAGAGGAAAGCCGCTCGGATGCTCAGAAAGCATCGGCGCAATGTGGCAATGTGTGGTGATGCTATTGTGCCCACGCAAGAGGTTGTTTCTAAAGAACATATTGTATTTGGAGATGATCAGTATGCAGAGTTAACTTGCAGCGTCCTTGGCTTCATCTAGCAAAACGATTCCCCACCAATTGGGTCCATACTGCTTTGGGAACGGCATTTAAAGGCACAGAAGAAAAGGGTCAATGATTACAGCAATTCAGATGCAAAGAAATGATTTCAACTTGGCATCTTGCCTTTTGTGTGAAGCTGGAAAATGCCTGAACCTCTGAACTTGAGTTCAAGCTGGACAATCACAGAACCTCGGAAACTGGAAGCCTCCTCATCGCCAACTCCAGTCTACTTGCTGGTACTCAGTAGGAAGGCAAAACGGGGGCTTGGGAAATGACCCATTCGGGACCCCGTAAGAAGCCGATGGCTGATAGCATGGCTCTGATTGCTTCCCTTTACAAAATCATCCCACATCATCTAAAAGTCACCCACATCTGGAGTACAAACAAAATGATATGTTCAGACTCTGTTTCATGCTGTGGATGGACAAAATCCTGCACCAGTTGGGGATGCACAAGAATACTGGAGGGTACACAAACGGCTGAAGGATTTTGTTCATCCACAGTACTTAGTGTAGCGGAACATTGAATAGTTTGAAGAAAACCGTTGAAGCAGACCGTAGATCCCTCACCAGCAAGTCTTTTTTGCAAAGCGGCCCATTGCCCCTCTTCTCGCGTGTACTCCTCCGGCACCGGGTCAAACTCTCCGCACTTCGGTGTGCACTCGAGCTCCTCGATTGCTGCGCATGACATCAATCCATGTAGGTAATGGATGCATGCATGTATATATATATAGTATTTTAACAATATGTATATATATGTATATATTTATACATATATAAGCCAATTTGGAGAGTAAGCGTGGGTACATATTGCATACATGGGAGTGCTTGGGATTTGGGCGAAAACCCTGTCTTAAGCATGTTAAAACAAACGCTATTGTTCAAGCAACCTCCTTTTAGCTTCCATTTGAAGGGAAACCAGGGCCTCGTATTGCCCCTGAAATCCTCGCCCCCCCAAAAAAAAAACAAACAAAAGAAAGAACAAACACACCGGGAATCCAAGGGCGGCATGGCGATGGCCAAAGACCCAACACACACCGTCAAAATGCCACGCTAAGCCGCCACACTGCAACGGACCTTGTCAGATGTCACGGCATACTCGCATGAGAAGCCAGCCACATGCATTGAGCCCAGAGACAATTACTTTCACGTTTGTTTAACATTCGGGTTTGCATTAATTAAACAATACGCCCCTCTTTACATCTGCTTCTGCATTCACATGTTGTTTGCACAAGTGCGAATCAAATGCAGACAAGATGCACGTTGTAAAACAAACAACACATACGCACAAGCCAAGGGAGCAAAGGTGAACAAATATGAAAACGACAATGCAAACAACTCGAGGATAATTGCAAGCCACACGACAAGCCAAGGGAGCCGAACAATCTGCAAAATGTAAATCACGTCTAAAACGTCAATGAAACAAAATCGAGGAACATTGCAAAACAGCCACAGGACAAGCCAGGGGACATGTAAATCAAACGTAAACCAGACGAACATAGAATACAAAAACGACTCGAGAGAGAACTGAAAAACTGCTGCTCATGGGGCCCAAAGCTCAGCAAGGGCAGAACATTCGAATCATGATCTGAGTCACGACCAAAACCAGGTGTTAAAATGGTCGACCCAGAACCATGTAAAGAATTAAGAAGGCGGCCGCAGGATTGTCCCTTACTAACCTTCATCTACCCAGGTTTTGATTGTGGCTCATCTCAAGGATGTGGCCCTAGACTTTTCATAATGCTACTCGAGGACCCTGCAGTTGGCAACTCATGTTTGCAAGAGTGCTCAACCAATCCAGTCCCTTGAGAACATCTCTGGCTGTGAAAACCAAAACAGCTCGTCGCCACTTTGCTCAACCCGGCGAAGGTATCAAACCTGCTGCTCACCAGCCGCGGGGCAAAGCTCAGCGGCTGCAGCGGGTTTGTGTTCCCCTCCGGGCAGGTGGCTGTGGCAAAGCCGGGCTCGTAGACTCCTTCGGTTGAGTTTGACCTCTCTAAAAGATTGCCCGCGCGTCTGTTCCATCGTGCATTGTCTTTGCTGTTCAGCGTTGCCCACGGCGGTTGCCATAGAGTGCTTCTGAAGGGTGATTGCAATCCTTGCAAGCACAACAAAGGAGATGCCTGACCACGGCACGTCCCTTGAAACTCTTCAGTGGAGACTTAAGACGCCCATCCGCTTGTTGACAGCTACCGTATAGAAAGCTTAGCGAACATATTACAACAAAGTTCTAACCATATTGCTGGAGTATCTTGGTTTGGTCAACGCAGGGCGGCAGAGCGTTGCGATCGTGCGGCCAACGCAAGCAGTGTGCAGGAAGCGACATCACACTGCGCATTTCAGCCAACCGTGGAGGTGAATCTAGTACCAGCCAACTTCATGATAAGTTGCATGACGGCATCCCAAGACACGTTTACTGTTGTCTTACGCCTCACGCCGTTCTCACCGCTTGAGCTGCGCCACCCAGTCGACCCCAACTTCAAGGAGGGTGCATTCTGGCTCCGGATGGGATCTCACAAACCCTTCACAAATGTGTGAAGCGTAGGACTTCAATTGAGCAGCGTTCAAAACGGGGTGCTACCGTCAGTGCGCGAGCACAGGGCTAGCTTACGCCATGAACGCCACTGCGCGTACGCAAGACACTTACGCGGCCTTACACCACCCCATGTTTGTCTTGCTTCAGGATCCAATGAGCAGCACATGATAAGCAGGCAACGTCAAAGCGACCGAACTTACAAGGAACTGGCAGGACCCTGCAAATGGATGATAGGCTATGAGAGGGAGGGGTTTCGTTATTGTTTCGTTTCTTCACAGGTTCGCAGGCGATACATATTATGTAACCGTCACGATGTCCAACGGTTTGTGCCAGTGTCTGAATGAGAGGCAACCATGCGGTGAGAAGGGCATGCATCCACTTCGATCGGCCTAAATACGCAACAGACTTCGCCAACACAGGAGAGGTGTGACCAATAAAGATGGAGTGAGACAAAGGGAGGACGTTCTTGCAGCACGTTATATGGGTGCTTCCAGCATAGCAGGGGAAGGGGCGAGCAAACAACGGAACTTACAGCAATACTCCTAAATGCCCTCTCTCCTCCCGGTCTGCTTGAAGTTCATTGACGTGCGGCATGATTGCACTCGAGACACGCGTGGATGGTAGGGCCTTTTTCACAGGCGGCTCCGGCTAAGCAACCTTTTTTTCAAAAACTCCAGTCATCACTGAAATCAACATACTAGTGGTCAAAGAAACCTTTCAATAGGCCTGGCGTTGGATCACGTTGCTGTTGGACCATGAGAAATGATTTGCCTTTACATGTCCCTTTGAGAAGCATGCATTATTTGCAGTAACATGGAATCCAAATTGAAGCATTGCTTGGAAACTTGGGAAAGCTGAGGGGGCGCCACCCACAAAAGGCGTTTTTGTTTCAAGTTGAAGCGGCTGAAACCGAACGGGGGATCCCTGCAGAGTATAATGCAAACTTAAAATAAACGATTTTCCAAACAAACTAAGAAGGGACCTGCAATAGATGCCAGGTCGGTGGCCCCCTGTTGGTGAAGTTGGGTCTCCCCAAAGCAGCACGGATCCCAACCAGAATCATCCGTTTTCGGAGGTTCCCCTTTTGGGGATCCCTTGACTTGTCTCAAAGTCTGAACTGTTTCTGCCACATGACCTTGCAAAAAGTAAAGTCCTGCAAACTCAGGAAGTGAGTTCTTTAAAACTCCGCAGAAAAGAGCCCAACGAAAAGCATCCCGATCGATGCTTATTGCAGCTTCCCGCTCACACCGTCCTTCTGGGCAACGCACCAAGCACTGTCCACCGGCTGGGACTTGCTCCTGAGTTAACCAACACAACAACTGACGGCAACCCCACGAGTCACTACTCAGCAGCTATATCATGCAGTTGCTGTTTAAACAAACTACATGAGCTTCTGCCAAACAAACACCCTGGATTGTAGTCCAAATCTAGTGAAGCATCGAAAGGCAAAATAAGTTCAAGAGAAGTCTCAGCAAGTCTCGGCTCCCGCTAAGCTACAGCCGCCCGCCCTGCTCAAGCTCTTCGCCAAGCCGCACAGTCAGAGGCATCCAGTAGGCAGTGGTCTACCTGCCATGGCATGCAAAGGCCTGCCTCCAGCAAGTCTGATACAAACTGACCGCGGGCAACATCTCCAGCCTCTAAAACAATAAGAAACTGCCTCAGAGCCAATAGCAACAAGCGCAAACGCATGCTTATCTGCTTCCAGCTTCCATAGTAGAATCCACTATCTACAGCCCGAAGGCAACAACGCAAATAGTTACCTGCTACTAGCAAAGCCGGACCACTGATGAAGCCCCAACTAGCACAGCAAAACCATCGGCACAGCCGCACAAATTGGGCCCAGAACTCACTGCCGGCGGCGCGTCGACGTTTACAGCCCAAATCAACGACGTGGCAACTTTCGCAGCCGATGAACACAACAAACGCCAAAACCACGCATTCGCAGTGGATCAAAGTCGCACCGCTTACAACGTTTGAAAGCAGTTGCGAAGAGCCAGCATGGATTGTCTGGAGAGGAGTGTGGGGTACTGAGCGGAGAGAAAGGCGAGAAACAAGCTGAGCTGGAAAACGGCCGGGGACAGTGGGCCAAAGCAGTTGGGAGCAGTGCGGAAGAAACGAAAGCGAAAATTCACAAGAACGGAGAGCAAAACTCGAGAAGAACAGCGGGGTAGTGGAGGCAAGTAAAACCAAACACGAAGAAAAGGGCGCGGTGATGAGAGCCCAAGGGCAGGGGAGCTGGGTAGGCGAGGAGAAGAGCGTGAAAAAGGAAAAGGGAGAAGGCCCTGAGGCGCAGGAGAAAGGAAAGACAAGCAGAAACAGTATCTCAGAAAAGCAAACACACAAACTGCCAGGTGTTGGGACGGAGGGGATCCGAAAAGGGGGTGTTTGCAACAACCACAGTTTCTTACGGTTGACCCTGTTTTTATCTCGCGAAGCAAGCTAGCTGTTATAAAAATGCATGCAACCCAAACTGTAAGGAATTACCACAACTATGACTGACGCTGCTGGCACATGTGTGATCCGGGTAGGACGAGGCAACCCTTCATCACTATTTCGCTGTTCTCGGTTTATACTAATTAATATATTAGATCACTGCTGCAATGAACACTAAAGCATAACCTGAACGATTGTCCTCGCAAGCTTGCAATACGAAGCGTACTTGCAGTGTGTTCAGCTTGTTGGTCAATTGGGTTAATTACACACCGTTAAACACAATTCCACCATTTATGGGGGTCAACCCAATAAATAGGGTAAGTTGGGTCAATTGGGTTATTCGGAGGTTCACCTTTTTTTGGGGGGTCAATTGGGTTCTATGCTATTCTCAATTCGCAGTTGGGTCAATTGGGCTATTTTAGGGTTCACTTCTTGGGTCAATTGGATTCGCATCCCCACCGAGTTTTTTTCTGTGCACAGTCCATGGCAAGTAGAGTCGTACCTCCGGGGCCCGGCAGGGCTGCAGCGGGAAGCAGCCCCGGAAGCTCAGCGGCGCCCCGCAGTCCCCGCGCTCCACAACCGCCACGCCGCCGAAGCCGTCGGCGCAGCTCCAGCCTGGCACCGGCTGCCAGGGAAAACCGAAGCCAGGAATTGGGGCCGGGATGCGCAGGGAAACGGAATGCATGAGTTCAAAATGCCTAGATTCTAGATGCGCATCCTTGCAAAACAGGGGGTCGTGGTTGCTGGAATAGCATGAAGATCATTTTAGAATATGCATGAACATTTGAATGATTCAGCGCACAAACAACCGCCAGGGTCGAAGCATGCGGGCAAAAGAAGGCTGCCGAGAAATTCGGTCCAAGTGCGACCTCCCGTCCTGCCTTCCGCCGTCCGCATGTACCCCGCCGGGAAAAAGTCGCAGTCTGTGGTGCAACTCGGCAGCTGAGCCAACGGCAGCCTCGCAAAACCCGAGCGCAGTGGTCAGGTCAAGCGGGGAAAAACTAGTGAAGCGTGCCCAGGCTCCAAATTTATTATACACATAAAGCTATGTATACGTGTATATATATTAACATATAGCATACACACAATGTATATATCTTTCTCGTCGCGACTGTTTCTTCTGCAGGTTTCAAGGAGCGTCTTGAAGGTCGGGTTGATGGGCTTCCGTGATCAAGAGTCAGATGCAATTTTAGGTAACCATGGTTTCCCAACCAGGCTATCTGCTGATTTTGTGACTGGCAATGTCGGGAGAGTTCTGATAAACCTAGCTTGGTACTGGCAAGACTTCTGTGAAGTTCAAAGCATCTGCAACCACAATATTGCGAAGCTGAAGCGACAAGGCAAAAGCAGTTGGAAGAAGTGTTTTACAGGTACAGCTTGCACAATTGCTTTGGTGAGGCTCCCCCCTTGGACCCCTCTTGCGAAGGTGAGGAGCCCCCCTCCCCGACTTCTGCGGCTTTCTACAAATTGTTTCTCCAATTATGGAGACCGTAACATACATGGTTTTTCCTCTTGGTTTCCCTTTAAAAAAAAACAAAAGAGAGGCATTTGTGTTTAATCAAACCAAGTGGCAGAAGTGGGAAGAACTGACTCAAGCGGAATTTCCGGGAGCCTGGGGGTTTCCAGGGCTTCAAGGGGCAAATGGTATCTCGTTTTGAGCTGGGAGACAAGGGTATCGTTTGGGTGTTTCAGGGAACCAAGGGAAGCCAGGATTTGTGTGGAGTCCCCTAAAGCACCACGCCCACTAAGACTGTTGCGATCTCCCACCAACTTTCCCCGCGGATTTCATTGTCATCCGTTGTCCCTTGGGAAACTCCACCGAGAACCTGGGGACCACGGTAACACCATAAACACAGCTCCTCCCCCGTTCTCAACCTACCAGCATCTGGAGGAACCTGGTACTTTGAGCCCTCTTTTCCAGTGTGGGAGCTTTAAGAACTGCAAACGAGCAACGTAATATGCAACATGTCTATGGGAAGATACCACAAGAAGGGTTACCAAAGGACCTTGGACCTATAGGAACCAACCCTGGTGAAAATATCCAGCAAGTCTGAAGGGTTCCTCAAGCACCCTCCAGAAGGTTCTCCTGAGTGGCACCCTGGCAGATTGTAGCGCCTAAGCAGCTCCCGTCGCAACTTTCCAGATCGTGTCAACTCCTGATGAAACATCACCCTAGGATTCCTAGTATTCAATCAGGCGTATTGCTGGTGAACAGGGACCATCCTAATGAATCCTACTGACTCATTGGGGAATATCAATCCGGCACAAAAGGCCACCAAACGGAAAACATCCTTACTGGCCCCCGATGATTGAACCACCCAAACAGAAAAAAAGGCAGCCCCGAGTCAACATCTTCTCTCTCACGTGTGCCCCACACGCCTCTGGGGGTCCACGTTGGAAGCAACGCAAGTAGCGAAGCCCGGCGGCCCCGCGTACGGCTCCCGGCAGAAGATGCGGCAGCTGGCGCCCGGCGCCAGCAACTGAAGCGAGTAGAAACCCCTACTTTGCGTCAGCGCTAATTTGCTGGCGCTCAGCAGGGAATGAGGGAATGACCCGAATCAACCATCCCTCATGGTTTCCTTTAAGGGAATCCCTGGGTTCATTCCCACATTCCCTACTGAGCACCAGCAAGCTAAGTTTTGGGTATGCTTTGAACAAAACCTGGCGTTTCATGGTACACACCTCCTCTTTTAGTCAGGGGTGATCGAAATGCGTTTTGTAAACAGAGGATATTTGGGTGTAGGGGAAAGGTGTTCGTCGGTATATTGACTGAAGGAAATCATCCACTATCATGATCATGTGTGGCTGTGATGGCTGTGTGCGGTACATCCCCGAATAAGATCGCTGCAAAGTGACCAAGGAGGCCTGAGTGTAGAGCCCATTGCTGGAGTACGTCCCCAACTCCCCGACCATGCAGATTTGCGCAAACGAAGCCGATCGGTGGTGGGCTAGGGACGCTGAGGACTCTGCGAATATTGGTTGGTCTCTTATACTGCGTTCTTGCACAATCCATGTCACACAGAGGCTGCTTTGGATTCAAACATTGGTTCCCAACTAGATGCTCCGGACAGGTTGCAGTCCCTGGGTCTTTCGTGAAACCCAGGTTCATAAGATGCTACCCCAAATCACGATCTCTGCAGTGTTCGGCCTGCAGTACTGTTGAGCCCTGACCTACAGACATGCTTAACCAAAAAAGCAGGGGATGTCAGTAGAAGAAACACATTATCCTCGCTAAACGGGGAATCTTGTTGACATGAGCCAACAATAACGACGCTATGTCATCCAAACTTAGCTGCCAAAGCACATTGCATTCTGATACATCCATTTTGCAGCTAAGCTCGTCATCGACGACTAGCCTTGGCTGTCACGGAAAAGGCGCTACGGATATCTCAGGACTGACGCAAATCAAGTGAGCGCAAGCTAGAGCCGCACAGAAAAGTAAATAGACGGAGCCCTCATGAGAAACGTCACGGCGTGGAAAATGAGGAAAATGGCCGCAAAAAGAAACGCTTCAATCAGGTTTGCCCCTCGGATTGCCGCTGGCTCCTTGCATCTCACCTGGACACGACGAATGTCAGTGGCAACCACTCCCCGTTCGCCACTAGGGTGCCTCCACCAGCTTCTGGCAGGCTGCATGTTTCCCCGGTTCCCGCCCACTAGCCGCCACTGGCCTAGGCAAGAAAAAATACGTGTCCACGTCTTGTGCATTGTCTGTGCCAGTTCTGCAGACTCACAAAACAAAGAAAGAAAGAAAGAAAAAAAGAAAGAAAGAAAGAAAGAAAGAAAGAAAGAAAGACAGAAACAAAGAAAGAAAGAATGAAAGACAAAGCAAGCAAGACACAAAGAACCCACACACACACACACACAACACGTCACTGAAGACACACACGCATGGCTAGAACCCTTTCTTGCTGCAAGAGACGGTAAGCAGGGCACCATCCGCTGGCAGCCCTCGAATAACACCTGCGAAAGCCGGCTTCGACTCTCCCAAAAGTGCGTCCCCTGGACGCGACAAATCCACCGTTTGTTTTTGCGGCTAATGATGCACGCCCTGGTCATCAGGATTCTATGTGCCTCCCTTCTCTCGAGGTAAAAAATGCTTTGATCTCGCGGGGACCCCAAAACTGGACCATGACCATCGCTTTTCCTGGAGACCCGCTCCAACCTGCATCCTTGTTTCTCCTAGAGGCATCTTTTTTGTTTTTGAGGAAGTGCATGTTTTCTCTCAGCCTTGGCTGGGTGTCATCCATATTGGCTACAAGCCAGGAACGTTTCATGGGGTTTTCGGAGGTCGTACATTGGCCCCGAAAGGCCCGACCTGGTAAGAGCAGTTCGCGAAGTGACGGCAGGTCCGGTTGACTTGGCCAACCCAACCATCGTCGCATTGCCATTGCGATCCTTGGTCGGAAGCTTCGGACTTCTCTCTTGGTACAACAAAAATACACCAGCATAGACAGCATAGACGCCAGATAGCAAAACATATGCTAACACCTCTACCAGCACCTCGCGAAGAGCCCCCCAAACCGCACCCTGCCGTCAATCTCACAAATGCGCCCGTGCCGTCAGTAGCACCTCCAACAGCAACCCAAACAGCATCCCAAAACAGCACCTGCACCAGCTGAGCAAACTGTATGCTCCCTTGCACTTTAGTGTCCCGAACAATGCGCCTTACCACCCTACCGTCAATCTTGCAAAACCGTGCCCGCACCGTCACCTGCATGCCCGCAAGCACCCGGCCGTCAATCTCGCAAAAATGCGCCGAACTCGTCACCAGCATCTCGAACAGCGCCCCAAACAGGACCCCAAAACAGCACCTGCACCAGCACCCCAAACTGCATGCCCCCTAGCAGCCCTAGCACCCGACCGTCAATCTTGCAAACACGCATCCGCACTGCAACCTGCACCTCAAACAGAACCCCAAGCATCTCCTACACTAGCACAAGCTGCACGCCCCCTAGCCCATCACTCTTGCAAATCAGGTTTCGGCCCAGCGAAAAGGATCCACAAGGCGACCAAACGTATCGGAGGACGGAGGTTTGGCTGTGTGGTTTCCTGGTATTCCCACCACGATTCCTGGCCATGCAGGTCAAAAGGACAAAAGTCTTCCAAATATCTTTGTGCACTTCACACGTTTGTTGGTGCGAATCGGTTCCAGGAGGCCGTTCATTGGCTCTCAGGTCTCGCCGGTCACTCTTCAGGTGACTCCACATTCAACTGCCTGCCAAAGCCATGCTTGTTTGTCAACAGATTCCACAACCTGATTAGACTCAGAATCAGAACCCCTCCAAGCAAAACCATTTCTCAGGATAAATGGGCATGTGGAAGAAGAGGAACCATCGACATCTACTAGAGACTATGAATTGGACAGAGGATCTTCCATCGCATGATCGCCAGACGGTGGGTCAGCACATGTTTTCCCACGGTATCCATCTGAAACCCCTGTCAACGCGCGCGGAACCTCGCCAAACAAGGCCCCTGGCCAAACTCTGTCCCAGCGGCCCACTTTTCTGTAGCCCTCCGGCAATGTCACCGGGTCCGGGCAGGAGAGGAGACAACGAGGCAAAGTCGTAAAGACCGGCTGCTTCCCCGGGTTTACGTTCTGGTCAGGACATCCTGAAGTTCGACAACCAATGAGTGCCGAAATTGGAACATCCAAACAACCCTCGAACAAGACCCGAAGCGGCTCTGTTATGTGCCTTGTTCGCCCCTACCAGGCTTGAGGAGCCCCGCACAACTGCAGGAACATGACACATTTGACCAGCAAACCCCATCTACAAACGCTCATGGACAGGCATGCTATCTTCCTGCTTTCCAGGCACTTTAGTTTGATGCACCCTGTGGGTGTGTGTGTGTGTGGGTGTATATATATTATATTATATATATATATACATATACATTTATATGTGTGTGTGTGTCATAAGCCAAGTGGATTGGTCGCTAGAAACCATACACATCGAAATCACGCCCAGAGGTTTATGTGCCCAACAAAGACTCAAAAGCCTGCCCTGGTGGAAACATCATGAAACATCGTGCTTTTAGGGCTTTGCCGCCTGAAACGACCATGCTTGCACACTCCAAACAGGCATATCTTTCAAACATGGGCACTGGAGCACTGTGTTGGGTGTATATGTTCAGGCATGGCCCATGTATGACCCACGAATGCTCCATTTCCACATGGTATGTCAATTTAGATGGGATGTACACGAAAAGTAGATACCATGCTGCAGGCCCTGCAGCGGGAGTTTGGTACGTCATGTTGCATGTGTAACTTGGACTTGGCAGGTGTTTTGGGGAAAGCCGCCAAGCACGACACTTTTTGAAGGCTTTGGCGGGGGAAGTTGGGAACCCCGTGGAAATGGGAAGAGAACCCGTGGAATACCCGTGGCAACCCGCGTTTTTTCATCAAAACATCGTGTTTTCGTGGCTAACAGGTGGTAGCCCGTGGGAAAAATATGGGTTCAAGCATCAGTGAGGTGTCTGTTACCCTCTTTACGCTGCCACTCAAATTTGGTACACATAGCAGGTGTCCTGACCTAACCTTGCAAAAGCACCTTCCAGCGCTGCCTCTCAGCTTGTCTGAAGGGTTCTCGAGCGTGCCCTAGCTAGCTCTTTCAAGGATTGGAGAAAAAGTTTGTTTCTTCAAAAAATGAAGTCGGCCGAGCAATTTATTGTTTCAGAAGCAGTGGCGTTTGCACAGGCTTGTCTATTGAAAGCCTGTGTACTTCCTCTGGATTACTCAATCTGAAAACCTCGTGTTTCCAAAAACACATGTGTATATGGATACATGTATGTATCATCCAATTTGTCCAAATGGTTACTTCACTCGCTATTTGGAATATCCAAAGTCTCCGTGAAGGGTGCATGTAAATTTCAAGCAGTCATTGGGTGCAACATGTATACAAGCACTCATACCAGCACAGCACAAAACAACCTCATAAACAAAACACACACACACACACACACACAACAAGCACCGGCAAAGCAGAAACACTCACCCATTCGGGCATGTGGGTCCAATGCTTTTGCTAACGCCACACACCCGTTCCATTCATTGCCAAGTAGGGGCTTCAAACCAAAAAGGAACCCCCTCAGGTGGCTCTTTGGGTCGTGGGGTTTCCCTGTGAGCGCAATGTAGGGGCAATTCAAGCTTTAGCAAACCCTTATAAGGGTGACTCCCCTTTCAACCATCATCATCTTCAAAAACGCAGTCCTTCACTTGGACAGATAATGGTTGACAGCCCTTTCCAACCAAAACCTTCATATTGACAGCCCTGTTATAACAACCCAACAGAAAATAGCGAACGCCTACGACCATCCCTATCTCCCGTTGGACAGAAGGAATGCACATGGAAAACGGTGACTCCAACCCGAACCCCGCGGCTCGGCATTCGAAGCCGAGGTGCGCGCGAAGCGCGGCACCCCGCCGTCCATAAATGGCTCCTTGCAGTTGAGCTGACAGCTCTGGCCAGGTGCCACGCCTCAAAGCGAAACCAAACAAGATTAAAGGCTCAAAACAAGGATGGCACTGGACCTGTATATGTATATATATATATATATATTATGATGTAGTTCCCTGCTCCAGGAAACAAACTTCCCTAGCACGGATCGCTCAGCTCCACCCTTTGGCTCGGAGAACCTGGGATTCTGGAAGCCTCCAGCCGAAGACTTGAAGAGGACTCTTTGACATTTTGACAGAGCAACAACTTTGGACACGTGTGCTAACTCCTGCGAATAGCGATAACACAGTGCTCAGCCATCTATGACAGGCGCTCAGGGTTCCGGATAGCTATGTTGTTCCCCGCAGCGTACGTGGTTTAGCACACCCAATTTTGCTTCCCCTGGTGACAGGTCGATTGAACAATTGATCGTGGTTTTGTTTACTAGGTCCTGCGGGCATGACCCTGATCTATTTCGAACCGGGCAAATGTCATGAGAATGGGCACTAAGGACTCTATTTGACTCTGATTGCCGTAAGCTTGTCAAACAAATATCCATAGAACAACGCTATCAGGATGGGAACGTACGTTGCTCTGATTCGAGAGGCAAGCATTCCAGTGGGGCGCTCAAAAGGCTCGCATCGTTACCCTCAGCTTGCGGCTTCATGCCAGCACAACGCATAATATATATATATATATATATATATATATGTATATATATACATACACAAAGGCGTGTTACGTTGCGATCTGTTCATCCCCTCACCTCTGCCGAAAGCAACAGCAGCGTAGCATCCGCTTGTTGCCCGTTCCAATCAGCAGCATCAAATGATACATAAGCCTGTTCCCGTTCTGGGCGACACATGATGCGAAAATCTGCCAACAACAAACCGCATCCGCGTCCAAATTGTCACGGGTCTGCTTGGTCACAGCATGCGCTGTGTCGGAACCGTCATTATTTGAACAGTTGTTGTGGGAGAAAATTATATATATATATATATATACGTCCTGCTTGGTGACTCCCAAAAGAAGCCCAAGGAAAACAGGGGAACCCTCTGCAGATGAAACTCTCGCAACTTGTTTGATCGAGCCCCTGGTCCAAATGGATTTCAAAGGGAAAGGCAAACCAACCAAATCAGGTTGGGGGTATCTCTGTGAGGCGTACACCCGAAAACTGGCGCCTCGGCACTCCGAGAGATTGAATTCGCAGAAATCTTCCTCTGGAAGCTGCAAGTCTGCACAGGGCTGCAGGGCATAACACCTCGGAAGTCTGATGTCCGTGGTCGGGGGTTGCCATTCTGGGCGACTTAAAATCATTCAGCTACCTGAGATGAGGAATCCGAAGACAGGAGCGTTCATCATGGGTGAGTGGCCAACCTTCTTTGTGAGGTCAGTCATTTGATCCAACCATGGAACCTTCGGCATGCTACTACCATGAAAGCCCACAACACTCTGTAACCACGAGGCTTCGCGAAGTGGACTACGCAAGGGGCTTCGCGGGGCTTCACAACACACAATGTATCACACAAGTGCCTTTGCGGACCTCCTGAATTTCCCCACGAAGCTAAAATCCTGCATCTGAGAAAAAGCGCTACTCAACTGAGGACCCAGCCCCAAAGAGGAAAAACAACTCCTGTTTTGAGGCAACAGGGAAGCAACACTCTGCTTTGGCAAACCCCTTCCAAGCAAGGACTGCACTGACAAAGGTCTGGTGTTCACAACTGAGGAACACCTACCCCGAACAAAAACAGGACATAACATTGCTGGACAAGAAGACATACAATTCAAGGCCTGGATGGAGAGTTGATTTCCATCTCCATGTCTTCAGTCGAGACCTGGGCTCCAGGCCCTTTGAGATCCAGCCGGCGCTTGCAGAAGGGCGCGCCATCGTAGACGCAAATGTGCTGGGCAGCCCCCGCGTAGCCTTGCAGCGCAAGAAGCGTCAGCGACAAGCGTCAGAACATGCGAATAACGATTATTTGTAATTACATTGGTGGGAGGGGTTTCTGGTTGTGTCGAGTCGAGCAACCGTGAGAAAACCAAAAGGCTTCCCAGGTAATCAGAAAAACCATTAAAAGAAACAGGGCTTATCCTGGACGATGGCTGTTGGGATCCTGCAGAGCAAGGCTACCCGCCAATGCGCGTCCTTGTCACAGCTGTTGGACAGCTTCCGTGCAGGCTGAAGGCAAGGTCGGTGCTTGAAGTAGTGAGACTCAAGATTAACATGAAGGCCTAAATAATTAGAATTGGGTTGTGGGGTACACACAAACCAGATTTCCCCATGATCATGTAAGCACATCGATGGAAACAATTCAGCCAATTCTAGTGCCGATTTGCAATCAGTGCTAGGCTTCAAGAACTCCGGCTAGAACAATGTCTCTGTTTAGTTTCCGAAGAAGTCAAAGCTCCTGTCCTCTCCTCCAGCAACCATGTCCAACACACCGCCGCAATGCCCCTCCAGCCACAAACCAACAAGGACGAGATATGATGACGGCAACAACAAGGAGATCACGAGATGATAGCCTGCCTTTTGCACGAGTGCTTGCTCGCAGCCAAACAACATAAATAAGTTGGACAGAATCAAACTATCGCAAATCAGTCTTTTCAGTTTTGTCAAGGCCCATTGGGGTATGTTGATGCATTGTTTTCTGAATGACCCCTCTACTGTAAGGGTCCTCCCGTGTACCCCGGCCTTCAGCGCAGCGCCATTGGCCGCTGACGTTGGTATACCCGTAGGGTATCGGCTCAGGTGGGGGGCAGGGCAACGTGCAGCTCGACTCCTCCGCTGCATTTCGCAGCGGCTCGCCTGATGCTTCCATCGTCGGCTCGCGAGACATGGATTGAATTAAGATTTGCAGTATGTTTGAAATCGCAAGTGCCGCCGCTTCTATTTGTGGTGGGCAATGACTCACTCCTAATTGCCAATCTCATTCCCAAGAGTTGATTCTGGCTCAGGTGTGGCCCATGCACAATGCATTGGACTAGTGCAAGCGGCCATTGATCACCGTGTTGTTCTCCGAGCATTGCACCTGTGCGGGCACGCGCACTCCAATATGACTCTCCGATTCCGAAAACACATGACCTGTACTTCGGGAACCGCTCATCAGCTCAACAAGGATGAGCCCAACCCTATTTGGCCGAGACTGGGACTTAAACCACAGGTCTTCACGCCTTTGCTTTTACATCGCGCTTCGTAGATCACTTGAGATGTGACCCTTAAAGTGTAGCACTGATAAGCGCTCGCTGCCCCAGCTTAGCCCATGAGCAAAACGTCCACAGTATTGATTGCTCTCAGAGGCAGCTAGTTACATCATCCCTTCAAATTGCATGCCAGGGCGCAATAGCTGCATGGTGGACTTGACTCAATCATCAATCCAACTAATGCTGTAGCCCAGACCCCATGGCCTGGATGAAGGCTTCAACCAATTCCTTGGGTTGCCCTCCTGGTTTCCAAATCTTCACCAAAGCGGAGCCAACTCCAATTGACGCGCGAAAAGTCCCAGCTTGTGTCTTAGGCATGTCCGGGTGCGACTTTCTTGAGGCTACCCACTGCCTTTCTGTGTGTCTGTGTGTGTGTGTGTGCGTGCGTGGGTGTGTGTGCGTGGGTGTGTGTGTGGGTGGGTGTGTGTGTGTTTTGTTGAAAGGAAACCCAAGGAAGACCCCGCCCTTTTTGGGGGTCCGATGAGACCAAAATCCAGCCCACAGCTTCTTTTTCGACGGCGGGCGCGCCTCAAAGCCCGGGCCCTCAAAAGGCGGCAGACACGACACCTGGCACTTCTGGCCCGGCGCAAGCTCCGCACCTGAAAGACCCCACCCCTCACCCACCCCGACCCACTCCCACTCACCCCCACTCACCCCCACTCAACCCGCAAACTCAGGGGAAGGAAGGAAGGAAGCTTGGAAGACCGGATCGAAGTTTGGCTCGGCACTCCCTGAACTCGCATGAATCCCTTGCACCCTTGCCTCTTACAACTGATTCCACCTCTAAAGCCCGCATAGCCCCTAGTGGCAATTTGAGCCTCGCGATCTGGAAGCTCCTGTAGCTTCCAAGGCTAGGGGCACTTGTTAATGAGTCAGTACCCATTATTTAGGCGTTAGTAGTTAGGGGATTCACCAGGGCTTGCAAGTACCAGCAATTATGTTTTGTGGTTCAATTGGGTGTTGGAGCCATTGCCAGTCAGGGGTGACAATATGTGTGTGTGTGATTGGTGTCGCCTTAACAGGTGCTTTACAGAGTAAAGAGGGCCCCAGTGCGGTACCCCGCACAAAGAGTCCCATAGATCCTATTTGACCATTTCATGCCCCAAGTAGGCACTTTCATGCCACGTCAGCATTGGGGGGGAGGCCTCTTTTGAGGGGCGTAGGAATACCTTTGGTGTGCGAGGATGTGGAATCATTCCAGCAACACAAGGGACCGGACATGCACATTGGCATATGTAGACCAAAGATCATATTTTTCAGGATGAGTTTGTCACTTTGCAATTCACTGCCCTTCAACTCCTTCGGCATGAAGCTGTGCTCCAAGAAACAAATCCAGGAAACAAATAAGTCATCCTCTAAGTTGCGTTGCATTGGCAACGGGAGGCAGCAAGCACTCAGGTTTCATATTGAAAAGCAACCAGCCTGCGGGGAATAATGATCAGAAGGCTATCGCAATACTCGGTGCTCGCTGCGATGGCTCCAGGGTCGTTTTGCTGTACGGCAAAGCGAATCTGGACTTATCGGCACATGCGCCATTCGCTATCTTGAAACCGCTGAGTTGTGCCCACGCAGTGCCCATTGCCAAAGGGCGTCAGGACGACGCGAAACAAATGTCAGACAACTAGTTACTCACTGAATGTCGTGGATGGGAAGCTGTTGCATGGCATTATATAAGTGACTCCGTCACTCAAACGCGAAGGTTCTCATCGAATAACCAAATCCGAAACTGCTCAGAAACTGCTCGATGCTAGCCCAAGTCACACTTCTGATAGTCCTTGGCTGTCAAGACAACCCAGCCCTTGCGTTTGCTTTCTAGCCAGGTTGGCCAAAGCAGCACCACCAAGCCCCGGATTGGTCCAGCCAAAATCAACTTGGTCACAAAGGATGGGACTGGTAACTAAGGCAAACCAAACTGAAAGCAGTGGAATCTATCCACGTTCAACCAAGCAGACACAAGCACGGCACATCACGGCACCTATACTGGTGTCTGAGGAATCGCCCGGGGGGGGGGGGGGTCTGCAAACCATGGTGGCGCCTGAAGATGGGCCAAAGCCGAGCATGGGTGAGTCTTGATTGGTGACCACCTGGTTTTGGTTGGTTTGATCGGAAAAGCAAGGAAGTTGACCATTTTCGGGTCTCACAATATCGAGTCAAGCCTACATTGAGACAGGACATAGGGCGCAAGGGTCATGCGTCAATGCTTGAGGTGTAACAACATGCGCAGTGCAACTTTCGCTTGGATCAGTGATGTTTGCCCAAGTCAACATTAATCAACTCGGTCCAACCGTAGAGCTTGATGAACACAGCTTTCACTGTATATATTTATGGACCTCGAGATAGCCCAACACAAGCAACAGGATGCTTGACTAAGCATGATAGATACGTACAAGCTGGTGGCCCTCCAAAAACATCCAAAAGAAGAGGCAGCCGTCCCAAATCAGAAAAACAAAAACGGGGAAAAAAAAACCATCAGCCGTTCGAGTGACTTCTTTAAGCTTGGGTCTAAAACCACTGGGGAGCGAGCCCATACCGGGGGTTCGTGAAGTTTGCCTTTGCGAACCTTCGCGATACGGTGGCTCCGCGGAGTGGCTCCGACGTGAGCACAACGAGTGCCTTTAAGGACATTTGGAGAGTTTTCCCCACAAAGCTAACATTTGTAGCTTTCCGAAGAAATATGCTGATACATATGTATATATATATATATATTATACAACCATGTACATATATATATATATGATATCATCTGCTTCTTTCGTGCGGTTCCAAATTCCGGAAGAGCGAGTCAAGTTCAGCAAGCACAGCAACCAAAACCACTCGAGTCTGTTCTCATACAACGTGTCTAATGTGAAATCTATTGAACTTCAGGCTTTCGCTTGATTTCGAGAGAAAAAAAGGCATTCCTTTGATCTGCCAAGGGCAGTTTGACTGAAATTCCTGAAGTGCAGCTCAGGGGCCATGCGCGGACACTCCTGGTCCTCAGCAGAAGCTGCATTTCAAAGCTGCGAATCATCTCGTGAACATGGCGCCAGAAGGAATCCTTGAAACGTGTTGGAAGTAGACATCGTAAATTAAAGCAAAACCAAAACCCCAAAACTCCTTATTGCTGAACTATTATGGTTAAGAGGTACTCGGCTCTGCCATATGTTGGCGTGTCAAGCCCTCACGAGCAGCGCATCGCGTATCGCATCCAAAGCACAACAGCTGCTGCTTCGGCAACTGCAAAAAGTCGGTGGGAAGGGTTGTCAACATTTCGAACGCAATGGCTTCTGGGGAGCACTATGGTTCCCTGGTTTCACCCTTTACCTTCTAGTCAAAAGGTTGACATGGGCTCCAAAATGCGGGGACACCAAAAATAGATGGTTTCCCGTTGGGGTTCGCTTTGGGTCTCCCTTGAACGCCTCAAACACAAACACGCATATCCATGCTGGCCTCAGGTAGGGTCTGCATCATCATGGCCAAGTGGCAACAGGCACCAAGGGGCCCAGCACGTTGCCGTAGGTCTGTAAGACAAACAAATACAACACTGTCACACAGAAGAAAGCAACAAGCACATACCCTCCCTGGTTCTATTTCCAGAAGCCTTCTGGGAGCTTTCATGTTAGTCTGAGGGGCGTCCAACGAGCCTCACATACCGCTGGTCACATTTAGGGTGTGTCAAACTGTGGACACATTGCAGGCCACCAAATCCCTGCCCCGGCTCCAACAACTCAGGATTGGTGGAGCACCAACCCACCAGAGAATGATCTTGCCTCGCAAACCAATAAGTCGATGGGCAAAGCTCGGTGGATGGAGTATGGAACAACCCAGTCATGGCCTCGTTGCAAGGAAGTATAATAATGGCTAGCTGGGTATGAACCTGAATCGGGACCCGTTGTTCAGTGTGGCTCCCAATCAAAGTTTACATTTTACAACATCTACTATCAACCTGCTGGATGAAATGATGGGTGTTTCCGATGTTTCCCCAAAAAGTGAAGGAGTCTCTCTTCAATGTAATATCCTCTACTACTCAACCTACATTGTATCAATCCTGAGCTGCCACCCGCCATTTGCGCCCGGTTTTTGGCTAAGCGTCGTCTTGGAGGCGGCAGGAAGCCAAGCGCTCGCAGCCCTCCACGTCCGTGCGCAGCTGGCAGCTGCCACGCTGCAGGCGGCACCGGCGCCGCGGCACTCCTATGGAAATCCCTTGGATGCTCAACCCGCTTGGGTGCTGTTTTCTTTTTGAGGGGACCCCCCAACATGGTGGTGTCCCTTTTGTTCTTTTAAAATCAACCCCAAAACGGGTACCCTCAAACAAAAACAGACCCAACCTGGAAGTTGGTTACAACCATGGCAAGGGGTCAGTCTTGACATTTACCCTTGTACCCCACTAACTGACCCATGGCTACAACCTATTCGAGTTGAGTATCCATGCAACTGGGTTGCCAGTGGTGTGGTATAGTTGTGTACTAGGAGTTCTGCGTTGGTATAGTTGTGTGGTGTGGTATCCCGCATTCAGATTGGAAAAACTGCGGGCTTCCCTTGTACCCACAAAAAGAAGTGGACAATTATGCTTTATTGACATGGCACGGCCAGCAATTCTAAAGTAGAAGCTGAGTTCAAAGAGTCCAAAACTCCTTGAGGGAAGTAAGGCCCACAC